GTGGTCAAATTTTGCCCAACAAATGAGAGAACAGAAAAATCTCTCCCTTACCCCTTTGTTAAATGAAACTCCCATAGGTGACCTAGCAAAGCTTGCTTTCAGGGAGATTTGCTCCTTTCAGGAGGACAGCTTTAGCCACTTTAAAAAGACACAGCAGGTTTTGCTCTTCCTTGCCACCCAATTTTAAATACATTTGAGCAGAGCACTTCCCTATGTATTCTGTGCACTATTCTGTGCACTGTACATCACTATATGTTCTGTAATTTCAGGACCAAGGTAAGTACTAACTGCAAGTGCACCTACTGCAAGATTTTTTTTTTTCCACAACATGCTGGTGTCTCTGTCCTTAAGAGGAATTAAAATGAAAAAGCATCTTACAAGTCACAGACTTCTGCTACACCAGTCTCTCTTCATAGTTCTGCATCCCAATTTCCCTTAAAGCATTCAACAGCATACATTTAATTAGCAAAACAATCCCATCTGTTCCACGAGTCAATACTGACAACTTTATGGTTAAAACACATTTATTTCTCTTGGTGCAGCTGTGCTGAATCTGACGAGGGGAGAAGAGCCTTCTGTGCTCAGAGCATTGTGTCTGGTGCCCAGGCTCTCATCACAGGGCTGCTGGCACTGGGAGCTCCTGAAGGCCTCCAGAGCCCCATCGCTGCCCACTGATGGCCCCTGGGAGGCCCCTCAGTGACCTACATGCCCTAAAAACAAACCTCCAAAGACAATTCTACAGAACCATTGGTAAAAGATCCCTTTTCTGTTTCCTTAATTTCAATGAGAGACACAAAAGAACAATCCCAAACAAAACCATCAAACAAGCACCAGAGGCTGTGATGAGCAGCCGGACGTTGGCACTGAGACCCTAATGGGCAAAAAGGGCAAGAAGAGCCAGCTGAACTTCATCCACCAGCAGGAACTACTTCCCAGCCTTGGGACTGCATACTTCATCCTCTCCCCCAAAGTCTGACGTGCAGGAATCCACACTCTGCTTGTAAATCAGGCACCCTGAATCTCCTACAGCAGAAAGCCTCGGGGGATCACCGGCTCCTGGGTCTCCCTATGAGGGAGCAGACCAGTCCTGCCTGTCCCAGGTCGCTGTCACACTGCACTTATTATACAACAGCTTCCTCATGCCGTCATGCTTCTGATGAGCTCTTGCAGTTTAAGTGTCTCCCTTTAGCTTACAATATTAAAAAAAATATGGAAAAAGATGAGATAGCGTCTGCCTTGTTCAGATCCTGCCTCAGTCTCAACCTAGAGGGCAAGCTTAGCTCATGGCATGAGATAAAAGGTAGGACGAGGTATCCAAGTCAACCGCAGGTGAATCCAAACTTGTCTGGAGAAAGGATGATCTAAAGGATGAACTGTTGACCTCAACAGGAATGGAAATACAAATAAAACGGTCTGGATAAAAGCAGGGACCAAGCATTTAAACCAGGGACTTGGAGCAAACAAGGAACGTTTTCCACACTGATGTCCCAGATAAATGGTATACTGATTCTGCCCTGGGGCTGCGGTTAATCTATTTAATATTTGGGGGGTTTCCACCCCCATCTTTTGATTGAAATGGCTGCAAAGAGTCACTTGCTGTCACACAGCAGACAAATTTTAACTTTCAGCTTTCCATAGAAGCAGCAGTCTTGTTAGGCAGGGCATTTGAACACTTAGAGCATCAGTGTAAGGCACAGCAAAATGCAAGCAATCAAGAGGAAACAGACTGGTTCACTAGCACCCCGTGAAACCCTCAGTGCAAGCACGCAGGTAAGATCGCAGGTAAGACAAAGGAATTACTGCAACAATAGCCCCAAACAAGTCAATTGAACGAACAAAGCAGGGCAGTAAAGCAGGTTAACAGAGAAAAGTAAACAGAGTCATTTAACAGATGCCAAGACTGTCTTGGTTTCAACTGAGCCCAAGATATTTTTACCACCTTCTGGCCATGTAGCTCCCCCCTGCAGCCAAAGCTCTGAGGGACCGGACCCAACAGCACTGCTGAGAACTGTTTGGCTTGAGAGCCTTCTCCTCTTAGGAAAAGCACACCTCTCCGCTAAGGGGCTGGCAGTGTCCAGAGTAATCAGGCAGATCAGGCTGAAGGCACTGTTCTGTTCACTCCTTTGAATCCTACTGCTCTGCTTGAATTGATTCAAGCCCTCCTGCCCCCCAGACCAGCAACACCCTTCACGGAGTTATCCCAACCAAGCCACTCAAGCGCACATTTGCAAGCCCAGACCTGCAAGGTTGAACCCAAGAGGCACCATCCATGACTAGATGCAGAAATTAGCTTCAGAGCCAAGTGTGACATTTCATTAACACCCAGCCCCACACAGATATGCTTCCAAAGTAGCAAAGTTATGCTTTAAAAAATAAATATGTACAATTTGCTGGAAAATTACATGGACGAGCTGTAAATAAACATGAGGGCTGGTGATGAAGCCGAGCTTGCTACAAAGAAATTACTTGAAGCAAGACTTCAGTACACCTGGCACTACAGTAGCAGCACATTCTGCACCACATGGATGCAGTGGCACGCTCCGAGACCAGTAAGCCAGAGGAAGGCGATGCCACCACGGTGGCTGCCATCACGGAGATGGTGGTGCCACCCGCTGAAAGCACAGGCAGGATGCCAACAGGCTATTCTGGCACAACAAAATGTCTTACATTAGAGCACTATGGGCAGAAAGCAAGAAAAAAGCTTTTATGGTTTTTAACAAAAGGCTCGCATTTACAAGCACAGAAGCCACTCGGTTACTTCTCAATAGTACCACAACTTTCTGTTTAAAATTATCTTCCAGAAAATAATGGAAATATGTTAAATTTCTCTGCCATCAGCCATCTACCTCCTCTTATTCATGCATTTCTGCTTGTCTCAGATACAACTATCAGCAAATTTCAAAGGACATGGAAGGTTTGATTATAAAGGTAATGGGGTTGTACATTTTCCATGGCTGAAAGCCTTCTTTTTAGCTCCCAACCATCCTCCCTGCTACAGCTGTCAAGTTCTGCAAATAAATCCACATCTCTTTGAGTCAGATAGTTCCCAGTAGGTCAAAACTGTGCAAAATACACTGGGAACATAATCCAAATATGCAGTATTAGTGCATGCAGATGCAATCGGTGACCTTAGCTATAGCACTCATGAGGTAAGAATACACTAACCCGCTTTTGTGAAAGAGGATGGTCCAGAAAAAATCATGAGTTGCAAACACTGCACCTTGTTTTTCAAGTCAGTTTAAAGCCAGAACAAAATACCTTTTGCCCCTGTTGAAAAATAAATGCTATTTACAACCATGCAGCAAACCATCCAACCTAGCAATCTAGCCCGACACACGACACAAAGCCCAGCAGAGGGATGAAGTCACCCCTATGAATGCATCAATCCTTCACATTATGACTTGCTGAGACAGGCTACTATCACAGCCGTATTTTCAAGGCAGAGCAAATAATCCAGAGGTACAGTTTCTCCACCAAAATTCTGTCACATTGCTGCTAACTTTACAGAAGGCACCAGGTTGAAAGGGGCAGCATTCAGTGGACTGTCAATTTTGACCATCTGCACTTCAAAGTAAGGGCACAAGGAGGGAAGCCACAGTGTCACCTGTAAGGAATGAATGCCACAGGGGCTGGCAAGTCCTTGGGAGTCTGTCCTTCAAATGGAAGGAAGGGAAAGTCTTGAGAGCCTGTGGGCATATCCTTCTATTCACATGAGAGAAGGGAAGCATCAGTTGTCAGCACTGAGCCAAAGTTTGCTCACATGAAATGGTTCCCCTTCCACTCCTGTTCTGCCCTCTGCTCCTCTCTCTGAATTACCCCATGTACAGCACAGCAGACACCTTAGCACAGAGACAGCGACAGCAAGGTTACTCCTCCACCAGCAGCAGGAAAATAAAGGTAGTGCCCTTGCTAGTTATCACCTTCAGCCTCAAGCAGCATCAGAAGGAAAAAAAAGAGAGCATTTTCCAAGGACAAGGAATCAATTCAGCAAAATCTGAAATACACACTTTACCAAAGAACCCCCAAGAGTTACTGACCAATAAACCATAAACCCTTTTTGTTTAAATACATTATTTAATGAGTTTTCTTTAAGAAAGAGATCTCTTGAAGCTCAAATTACAATGAAATACAATCCTCTAGATCTACAGTACACATTGCTATAAACATTTATCAAACCAGGTATTTTAATGTTTGCTCCTTTGTTGTTATTGTTATTAAGGAAAAGTAAACAAGAATCTTCTGTTAACAGCAATCCTGTTCTAACTTGCCTATTTCAGCCTAGAACAGAATAAGGACAACAGCCTGTCACCACACTCCTCTTCCCAAATACAGACCAAATGCCAAGAAGGAACAAGACACTGTCATGACTGCACACTACTTCAGCTTATAAAGAGTGAGAAGTAAAATGGAGCAGTTGGCTGAGGGCAATACTGAGAAAGGACATTTCACCTTTCCCACAGGAATCACAAAAAGATGCCCCTTTGCTACCAAAGTCTGATTGCCATCAAACTCATGTTCATGCAGCACACTGAAGCAAATTTACACAGGTAGTTTTAAATTCACTTTTCTGCCTTCTCCTCATATTTTCTCTCTTCTCTCAGTATCCAATGCTTTCCTTCTACCTTTTGTTATCCCTTCATCATTTCTATCTTCAGTCACTCAGTCCCAGTGGGACAGAGCCAGAGCACACAGCTCCTCTTCAGTCTTCTGGCATTGTCAATACTGTGGCAAAGGGCAAGTCAATAGTGCTGCATTAGTACTGACAAAGAAAAAAATGGAAGAGGTCAATTCCTCAGAGAGTTGGTTTGTATCTTTTAAAGGCCACTTTGCACAACCTTTGAATTCTGAAAATACAAGTGAGCTTCTGCAGTTAGTGTAAAAATATGATCGAGCTGAAAAAGTTTTAACACTTCTTGGTTTAACTGAGCAGCACGCTGAGGAACCACAGCAAGCTGCTGTTTGAGAGCTGCTGCTCAGCTAGTCAGACATAAAAGCAGACATCAGGTGTAAATTTTATATTTATTATAACAAAAATTATGACATGTTCATTTGTGCATTCGGCTTTAATATAACTCTCGGTATGTAAATGTTCTACAGCAAATGAGCTCTATACAATCATGCTGGTTGTGGCAGCAGTAAGGAACACAAACAAAACGTGTCTGTAAAAGTAAGGAAAGAAAGAGACCGGAGGAAAAAGTGGGTTTCTTTGAACAGTCTACACCACCTGGGCTCTAGCTAACTTGTACACAGCCACACAGTCCATTACGCTTAATGACCATGGCCCAAAGAGTCGCTTAAGAAAAAAGGTCAGTTTTTCAGGTTGTGTCCTTAATGCCAAGGCTACAAAACATGTAAGCATCACTATACAACACTGAGCTATTTACAGGAATTTCCCAATCAACTGTTCTCTCAGAGAAAATTAGTGAATCTCAGTGACTTAAGTCACCTGAAAGAGTAAAGCAACTCCTAGGAGTTAGTCTCCATATTCTACAAATGTCTATCATTTTCAAGACCAAAAAAAGCCTTTTCTCTCAAAGAAATACAGTATTACAATATTACTTAAATCATTTAGCACTGGCTACTGCCCTGCTTTTCAAACAAAACAAACAAGCCATTTTAAAAAATATTACATCATCATCTGTTTCTCAGCAATATATTAAACCTTTTTATTATTTTTTGTTTTGTTTTCCTGTTTTTACACTTGATATGTTAAGGGAGGGTTAACTATTTTAAACTTTACCAGTCAAGCGTCTCTAGAAGAAAGTCAATGAATATTAAACCTAACAAACTGAAAAGCTGCAGTTATCTGTAGTGGCAGGATAAGGAAAAGGAAGTATATAAAGGAAAAGGAAAACCCCTGCTGTAATGCAAGCCCACTGGGTCTCACAGTCAAGTCTCCTTATTTGTTAGTTTATTTCTGAGCAGTAAATAGAGTGGGTCATAGTGGTGTGTCATAATAGTCTGCCAGGTGGTCCATCGGATACTGCTTCTGCTGCTGCTGTTGTTGCTCCTGGTGCTGCTTCATAATCTCCTTGACTTCTTCTTCGAGCTCTGGTGGGATGATGAACTGGTCATCAGGATCAGGTTGTGCTGGAGCAGCAAAGTAGCCCCCGGTTTTTCTGAGAGGCGCATCCGTTGCAACTTCAATTAAGTTATGGCTCCTCTCGTGTGGTGCCACGGAGCCGTTGCCCCGCCGCCGCCCTATTGTGCCCGTGGCAGAATATTCAGCTTTCCTGGGAAGGCCGGGCTCATCTTCATTGGCACTGATGACGATCCCTTCGTCACTGGCTTCCACTGGCACTTGGAGAAGCTGCTTCTCCTTCGCTCGGCTGCAGTGGATGTCCACCTCCACCTCCACGCGGCTGCCGTTGGTGAACACCCCCTCGATGGGCTCCTCATCGTCGCTGTCAAGGCCGTTGTCGGAGAAGGCGCTGGAGAAGGTGGCGCTGGAGAGCTGCCGCTGGAAAGAGTTGGACAGGCAGACGGGGTGCAGCATGCAGCGCTGCTCCCCCGGGTACGCCGGGCTGTTCTCGTTCATGGCCACCTGGGGAGGCTCGTCCGAGGCCGTGGACCCCACCTCGCTGCTCATTTCCGAGGTGGAGATCTCGCTGCTGATTTCGGAAGCCATGCCGCTGCTCGAAGACGGCATCCCGAGCGCGTCCGTGGGCCTGTCCTTGATGACCACGTTGACAGACTGGGGGAAGATGCCTGGGCTGGGGGGCGGGACCCCGTTGAGCTCACAGCAGCAGAAGCTGTCCTCCGTCACGTTGAGCTGAACCACGACGGCGCTGATGCTGTCGTTGCAGCCGTAACTCTGGGCCAAAGTGCAAAGCTTCTTGGCGGCCGCCAGCGCATCAGGCACGTTTCTGACGGCCTCGACTGCTTCATCCATCGAGAGGCTGTCCCACAGCCCCTTGCTCCCCAGAATGAAGAACTCATCTTGTGGAGTTAAGGTGATGGACTGGACGTGAGGACGCGGCACAACACTTGGGTGAAGGAAGGTGTATCCCAGGATTCTTGTTGAATCTGTCACACCATTCACTTTGCCATCCTGAAATTAGAAAGGACAGGAAATTTGCAACAAGATAGACAAGGATATACAGTACCTGCCTCTCCCTGCATTCTACTGATGGCTGTTTTTGCAGTACCTACCCCCAACGTTGCCATTCACAGTCAAGGGGACAGACAAGCAAAGTGACTTGCAAGGAGGTGACAGAGCTGGGATTAGAGCACAGCAAGGGCTGGTTTGCGAGCTGCGCTGCGCCTCCTACACCCGACTGATTTGTCATCAGCACCACCTATGCACAGACCAACAAGGCAGAAGGCTGCAACAAAGAGCCATCTATTCTGCTCCTGCAGCTGCAAGAGCCAACTGGACAAATCTTTTACCAGTGAGTCAGACTTATCCCTCCTCCACCCACGGTATCTGGCTTTAGACAGAGCAAAGCAACACACATTTGATATAGGGGCAGCTCATTCAGTTACAAGTCTTCTCTTGCAGCTCTAACAATTGTAGGTTTCATCTTGGCTCATCACTTTAGAAACCAAGGTTCATTTAAAAAAAAGGTTTTAAATTAAGCATGCAAGTCAAATGTAGCAGAGAGCAAGTCTGCATTTCTCAGTCAGCTGAGTTGTAGTGAAATGTTTTACACGCCCCAATTACTTACTACATTTCCACTTAGATATGACATTTCCAAAGGAAGGAGGAGTAGTAACTGAAGGGATAACATCAGTAAAAACGGACGCATTTGAGAAAAGAATCCCATGCACTTCCAAACCCCAGAATCCTGTCCTGGTTAGAATCCAAGCTGCCAGAATAAGCAGAGCAAGTGTCTGAAACAGCAAGTCTGGCTATTTGTCAGCCTGATGGGGACAGCTGTACCCTGCTAATTGAATATTCAAAAAGAACAGCAAAGGTGAGGTTTTACCCTCTTTGGGTCCAGCTAATAACTGTAGGGGTTATTATAAAGCAGATAACCACAGAAAAGTGAACCAAGACTAAAAAAGCTTCCTCTTTAAAATCACTCAGGAAAAAAAAGCCCCCATGTCAGCTTGTTAACTTTCCCATTAGAAGGCTGACAGCAGTGATAAGCCATCAGTGTACATTAAATCAGTGAGTCATCTGAAGATTCAGCCCAGAAATTTCCCTTTTCCTCTGGAGCCACAGAAGGAGCGTGCATCCCTGATGCACACTGTGTTGGAGTAATTCCCTTTCAACTTGTCACGTTTGGGATCCCAGCCCTCACTTTTCCCAGGCAAGATCAACAGGCACATGACTTACTCCACACACACATGCCCACCCTGCTCTCAGGCACACAGCAGGGAGGTTTCTGCCCTTTCCCCCACCATTAGGAGGATTCAATATTTATCTATTCCTCTGCATGTGTCACACAAGGCAAAGCAAAACTGACAGCAGTGGCTTCAAGCTCCTAAGAAAGGAACAAACAGCTTTCTCCTCTCTCATGGTTCAGCTGAGCACAGGGTGAGCCTCTCGGGCAAGTGCTCTCTTCAAGAGAGCCTGTCAAAGGGCAGTTCTGGGAATGCAGCTCAGACAGCAAAGTCAGCCTGCCAGGAGCAAGGAGTCTCCTAAGGGAAGGACGGCATTGCTCCAAGTGCTCTGCCCTCTCATCCTTTTTAATTGGAAAAGCTCTCCATGACAGTTCCAACACAGCAATTCCTCTCCCATTAGAAGGAGAGGATCTGCTTTCCTGTTTTAATGCAACATGCTCACAGCTGCTCACTCTTGAAAGCTAATCAAAGTCCAGCATGGCAATGGAATGGAAAAGCAACTTGACTGCATGGTATCAATCACCTTGAAAGGAAAAGTTCAACTGAGGAGCCCACACCATGAACACCACCTCCCAGAGGTTGCTGATATCATGTAATTTCATGCACTGCTGTGCAAATGCTCTCCAAAGAAGCTGCAAGTTGCAACATTCCCCAGCTGTTCTCTAACCTCTGTGATAATGGCCTTATGCTGCTTAATCCTCTTCAGCTCTTCTTCACAGCTCATCATGTAACACCTGGACAAAGGCAGAGGTTTTCCATTCCGGCAGAGAACGGTTTGGCACTTCCCCACATTTGCTGAGGTTAGCGTGAAGCATCCACCAGGGTCCATGGGATCATGTTTTATATGGCAAAGGACAGCAGAGCCTCCAAGTTTCTGTCCAGCTGTTCCAAGTTTCCTGGAATTTAAACAAAACAGTGATTGTTCTTTAATTGGAAAACAAGTATTAGGAGCACTGTGGAGAAACAGCCGCTGTTCCACAACCAGAAGCATTCGGGGCACTGGCTCTATTGGATCACTGGGACAGAAACAAAAGTCTCCACTGAAGACTGTGACACTACAGCAGCAGCACTGCAGGGATCCCACGAGCAGCTCTCAGGCAGGGTGTTATCTTCACATATGCAGCAACTCAAATATGCTCAATTTTAGGAAAAAAAAATCTTTGCACTTCTAACAGTTTCACAGTTGTCTTTACATCTGATAGATATTTGTTTTAAAGATCAGATAGAGCTTTGGATCTTATTATTATATCTGAAGCGATGGATCTTATTATAAAAATAATAATTCTGACTGTAAAAACCGTCTACTTCTGAGCAAAAGCAGAATGCAGAGATTCACTGTTTTGCACTATCTTCAGGATAATACTCTTAAAAGTTATCAAATTAGGACAAAAAAATCAAAAATCAGAATCCTGAGGGCAGAATGGACAACTAAATTTGCAACCAAGCCTCAATATGCTTTCTACATTATTTTTTTACAAATATAAAACTCTAAACTCTAGGAGTGCTGCATATCATCTGTAAGCATTAGTGAATATTAGTGAATGGCTGAATGCAAATGGAACGAATACTATTTCTGCTTCTCCAAAGAAATGGTTAGATGATATTGATTTGAGACCAAAAAAAAAAAAAAAGAGCTTTTTGTAGGAATGCCGCATTCCTCATAAATTGCATTAGTAGCAAACAAAACCACTTAGTAAGTACTTCCAGTACTCAAATTTTTTATTATTTTTGAATATTTTAAGTATATGGCAATCACCTTTTCAGTTAGCAGTCTGAGGCACTGTTATAAGCAATTATAGGAAGGAAGTCTTTTCTCTCTTGTAAGATTCAATGCCACCCTACTGCTTCCCTATCTTTCCCAATGCAACAACTTCAGCATTTTTCCTTTCCAAGGGTGCAGAAATTCAACAAGAAGCAATGCTACTTTAAATTTGATCCATTCACTCAGTCTCTAAGCTGCTTATTTGCTTTCCCCTCTGCTTCCCTGACCTCTTCCCTCTCCTCTGTTCAATTCCCTTCATACTCCTCCTTCACCCAGTGTCTCCCTAGGCACAATTTCTTCTTCTGTCCAGAACAGCACACACGGTTTCTAAACCACTACACAGAACTACTATTACACTCACAGCTAATGTATCACAAGCTCCAGAGAGCTTGTGATGGGTCCTGCTCAAATAATATTCAAAGGCCAAAGGGATTTCTAAGAAGTCAGACTATGTGTTTTAAATATTTGCGTAACCTTAAATAACCTGAATCAGTACACAGAAACAGAAAGGATAAGCTCAGGCTTTGCAGGCCGTTGTAGCAAGGAAGTTTAAAAAGATGATCAAGACATTGATACCACCAACTTGGTTATGGCCAATTGTAAACCTTAATACTCAGGAGATGATACCAAAAAGGAATAAACCTCCACCCACCACTTAGTCATGAGCATTTTAGTAACTTTGCAGGCGGGTTGGGATTTGTTTGATTGGAGAGGTGTTGGGATTTTTCTCCCCACACCTTAAAGGAACTGACGCAATATTCACAAAACAAGCAATAAAAGGAAACACTGTAGCCAGATAGCAAGGCTTTCCCCCCACCCCCCTCACATTTCTTTGAAGCAAGAGCAGGTGCCTGACCTGAAAGCAAAGAAACTGCACAGACAAGGTAAAAAAACCTTCACATCCAAGACTCACCTCTGCATAACAATGAACGTGTTGATCATGTATTCCTCCTCATTCTTTGTTTTCTGCAGCTCTTCTGCCAGGATGTCACTCATCGTGCACTGCAGCAGATAGGGCACCTCCACATTGCGGTCCCCATCAAACACACCATAAAGGGCCTCCCGGTTGTCGCAGAAGTTGTTGGCCGAAAGTGCTGCCACGCACAGCCTACGGAAAAAACAAAGCAGAAAACATCAGGGGTTCTATCCTACACTACTTTGTCAAGTTGTCATTTTGACCAGAGAGATGCAGCCTGCCCTGAGCACCAGCTTTAACCACCTCTGGTCACAGGTGTTTCAGGATGCTTTCTGAGCTCTGGGGACGAGTCAGGCCCATCAACAGCGCTAAGACATGGAGAGAACTATGCTTCAAGTTCAAGCTAAGCCCTAAGGATTCTTCCTTCTTTTCAGCACGTGAATTTTTTATTGTAAAAATGGGAGTGAAAATCTCTCTGAAACAATACCAATTTTAAACTGCACTTGCTGCTCCAAAAGCCATCCTTGAGATCTAGTGTGCTGATAGCCAAGTTGTGTGTTAAACCAGTTAAGAGTTAGGAAAGGATTGCTGGCACTTGCTATGGAAACCTAGGTAGCAGAAGATTTCTAAAAAGGTATTTGAGGAACAAAGAAAGATTCATCACATTGCCAGCAACACAGAGACTAGCAGACTCTTGGTACATCATTTGTCAAGTGCTGCCTTTAGTCACAGCAGCCACACACTATGAATATTCAGAGTTTTGGTCATTCTGTCTCTTCTTTAGTATCTCTGATTTGCTTGGTAAACATCCTTTGGTTGAAGATAAAGAAGCTTTGCAAAGAGGAAAATGCTTTTAAACACTCAGATCTTTTGCAAGTAGCAGAGTCTTGCACAGACCAAACGTGTCGGCTGCCCTTGTATCTTAGCAACTTCCCTAACAAAGACCCAAAGGGAGAGCCAGGCAGGAGAGCTCGGTACACAAATGCAGAGACGTGGCTTGCCCTCTGCAAACCCTAGAACGTCCCCAAAACTTCCACTGAGCAAAGGAGCTCTTTGTCTCAGCACAGAGGTGCTCACACAACAGAGCCCGTGCCAGGCCGTACTTGTTCTTAACGCCGGACGCCTCCGTGTAGCCGTGGCTCCACACCGCCGGCGCTCCCGACGCGTCGCCCGCTGACGGCTGGTCGATCTTGAAGCACCGGATATTGCTGCGAGGAGAAAGGAAAGGGGACGGATGCAATGGATGCACTTGCTGACATGGTCCAACTTCAAATGTGAAAAGAACAGCCTTTTTACTCTCCCAGTTCTTAGTAAGACATTTAATAGTAGAAAATGCAGCAGGACATCCAAAGTGTCTTTTATGTGCCTGTACACAACCAATAATAACTGAGCCTCCATAGGGTGTCAGCTGCACCACTTTGTTTAGCTGGCCTGTACTTCCCTGCCTTCACCCCTGAGCTATTTGGTTCAAACCAGGCCCTGCAGGAATACAAAGGTAATTTGCCATTAGTTTGATAAAAGCCAGTACAGCAAAGTGACTTTTAAAACTTATACATCTCCACACATTTTTACAAGTTTCTGTGCTCTTTTCCTTGGACTCAAATGAAATCTCCTGTATGACCTGCAGCACCCCCTAAATGGGAAAAAAAAATTAAAATAGTTGTTTAGAAACAACAATGTGTAGTAACACATTGTTACTTTCATGAAAACACCCACAAAACAGAAATCAGCTCCATCCTGATCCTGCACCAACCTGCAAGAGCCAGCATGTGGTCCTGACAGCAGGCATAGCCCTTCTGCATTGCCCAGTTGTGCAGTCCAATTTTCACATAGGCCCTTGATCCTCTGCCCTCCAATTTACTACCAACATAGCCTTTAGCCTGAATTTCAAGTATCTCCTGGAGCACAGTAAAGACTTAAAAAGGGCCCAGCCCTCTCTGTTTATACTCTTCTCTTCACAGCCCTGCATTGCTGGGAGAGATGACCTACCCACTGCTCCCTACTGCTCTCTTCCAAAGGCAGGAAAAGCGAGCTCCCCACACGCTGCAGACGCTTCAAAGGCACCCAAACCTTTCATGAACCAAATGAAACATAAAAGGACTCAAGCAGAAAGGTCTAACTGTTCACTATGAGCATTCATTTTTCCTCTAAATCCCCACCTGACCTGAACACACAGGAAAGTCTTTTCTGCATTGCAAAGTCTTCTTCAAATAACTTAAAGTACTGTCACATCCAGTTTGATTTCTTTTTACATTAATAACCAGGATGTACATCAGTGAGGGCAGACTCAAAACCAACAAATTACATAAATAATGTTGCAACCATTTGTCTTGGTTTGGCCGCCCTCTGTGTGACAAATAGGAGGCAAACATCTTGCCATGGCTATTAAAAAGGTTAACTAACCCCAAATCAAACTGGAAACCTGGACCTCTTCTAAAGTAGCAGAGATTTTAGTTCTGTTGCACCTGCAAAGCAGGACACACGCGAGCAAACACACTTGCACTGCAGACTTCTCATAAAAGGCATTTATCTCCAGGGCAGAGGAACCTGGGTCACAAAAGTTTCTTTTTGTTTCTTTTTTAACTGGGCTGACTGACCTCTGGCTCCTGGGCAGGTCAAGGACCCAGAGTTGTTTCAAGACTTCCCAGCCGCGGTGAAAAAAAGAAGTTACCTCAACACACTGGTTCCAGCCTCCTTAGGGGCACCAGTACAAACAGACCATGTGTCCTGAGGGAATGATACCCAGCAGAACATCCTATGGAGGCAATACAGACTAAGTCTTGTGGGCAGCCTGGCTTATTTTCCCCTTAATTTAAAATGGCTGTTACAATTGAACTAGATGCTCTCTCTTAAAAATCAGAGTAACAGCATCTTTTCTTTTTCTTCATTTTCATTTTAATTGCTAATGAAAATTCTTACATCCAGTAAATCACTTGGCAACATCCTCCCAAGTATGCAAGCTTCCTTTAAGATCTCCAAACATACTAAAAAAGCAAGCATGCATGACAGGACTCTTCTCACCAGCACTGAGAATACATATTAACCTACTACCTGCTTGAATTCTGCCAGGGCACAGATGGAGAGCTGCCTTTCACATGCAGAAGGAGGATATAAAAAGTACCAAGTGCACAAGTATTTTTGTGCCTGCCACAAAAATCAAGTGAAAGAAGCACCTCCTCTCTCACAGTCAATTATAGCAGAATACCATAAAAGTAAGTGTAGCGTATCAGACGCTGAGAAACCCCTCAGGAGGCCTGAAACACCTGATTGTGCCTAATGAACACAAATGAACAGAACAGACCTGTGGTTTTAAGAATAATTAATTTTTTTAAACCCCCAAAAGTAAAAGAAAACCCAAAAAATCCTACAACAACCAAAAGACCCCCCAAAAATTCCAAACAAATCATACACATACACTCCCTCCAAAAAAAAAAAAAAAAAACAAAAAAATCACTCCCAAACAAACAAAAAAAAAATTAACCAACAAATTAAAAACCCACCCACACTGCCAATGCCAAAACAAACAGCAAGGAAAATGCACTTGCAAGAGGGAAACGCTTCCTGTGAATTAAGGACTACACATATGCCAGTGAAAATATAGCATTTAACTGGACCACGCTACTCTTCAACTACTTAGAATTCAAATTTGTACAAGAATGCTACTGTGCACGATGCCTGAATACTAAAGTGATAAGAGAATGTGAGCCCATCTTGTCTTCTGGGTTATACATAAGAAAAGCTGGTGTTTTCTGAGTTTTGACACCTTTCATGAACTCTATAAAACATATATAGCTTTTCCCCTATGAACCAGAGTGTGTAATATTACACACGGCTTCTTCAGGAAGATTTCCTGCATGCAAAGAACAACTCTTAAAATAGAGGCATGCCCCTTTTTTCACTGTCTGCTGCAGAATTTTGTTTTTATCTCTTGTTTTTATCTCTGAGAAATCATCATTACTCAAATTTCCACCTATATTTTGAACATCTGCTGATTCAACCTAAAAGTAAACTCACGCTGTAAATTTCCCTTGCGTGCACAATAGATGAGGGTTACTACTCCAGCGTCTGATCTTAACCATTTAAAAGCAAACAACTTGAAGTAACTGGTCAACCCCTAAAAAGTAAATCAATCCTTCTTGGAACCATTTGATGTTTAAAGAATAAAAGAGATTTAGAAGGAAACTTGGAGCTGGTACAGTTTCCCACAGGACGTAAGAAAAGTTCAAGGTAGCACCACTGTCCACAGATTATCTGGTTTACTGCAACAGCTCCTCATCATACTGCAGAAGAAAGGACAAAGCACTCAGGGAATTTCAGTTATGGATGGCACTTAAATCCTAGGGCAGGAAACAAACAGGTAGACAGGAAGGAAACTGAGGGTCCCAAAGTAAAGGAACCAATTTCTCTGCAAACAGAGCACGTCTTCAGCAGTTTAAATATAAAAAAACATATAATTTCTAGCACAGAAGCAGGCAGATATGAATGGGAGCAAGAAACACTATGAGAAGAGGTAAAAAGCAGCACAATGGCAAAGACAGACCCAAGCAGGTTGAATGCAACAAAAAGATATAGCAAGCAGCTACTGGCATCTCATCAGTGGTATAAAATACATCTTTTGGCTGAATCTAGTGTCATAAAAAAATGCAATCCAACTGGCCCAACAGTGGTTACACCAGACTAGAAGACACCTCTAGCAGTTACAGCTGAAAGCAATTGCACCAAATTGGGTAAAATCATCCTCTTCAATGAAGCATCAATTTCACACCTATTCACTCTATCTGTTACTTTCTGATCCACTGGCAACAGGGAACCATACTCCTTAAAAGAGATTCCACTTCTGTGCAGAAGTTTTCACATCTAGAATTGTTCTGCTCCTTCTCCACTCCGTAAGGTAACTTACTTCAGAAGCTCTAGCGTTTTGTGATCCAGGGCTAATCTGGGATTTCCAGTCAGGTCCAGCTCCTGCAGTTTTGGAGGCAGGTTTTCAGGCAATGTGACTTCACTCAGTTCATTGCAGCTTAAGTCCACACACTGCAAAAAGAAAGCAGCCAAAAAAGCAAGAGAATTCAGCTGTTATCAGGATCACACAAATTTTGACTAAATGTGGTAATGCATGTTTCATGAACAATAAAGGCTGCAATCAAGACCTAAGACCATTCATTTAAGTAAGTGGTTCTTACAAAAGAAATTCTTACATGGCATTTAGCCATCTTGCCAGATGTCTGGGACACCTAGAAATATGTTCCTTCCATTTCTATCTCTAGTCAGGTGTCATCTTGTTACAAAGCCAGTAAGTTTGGTCTGGTCTTCACAGAGATAGTGGATTTTAAAAGTAATTAAGAAAAAATATTGTTAATGAAAACAGTCTCTTAATAGACAAAGGAAATGGAGGCAAGTACAGCTGGGGCTTCTAAGCCACTGGCATCAGGCTCTCAGCAATTCAGTATTTACTGAGGGATATTAAAATAAGCAGTGTTATTAATGTATGCAAAAGGGAGGAGTAGAGGGGGAAAATATCAGAGCAGTTTTAAACATGGTTTTAATTAGTGTCATCTTAGATGGATTTGTATTTAAATAGAAAATCAATAAAAAGAGTGAAGAAAAAAGTTTAAATATTTCAAAAATACAAAACAGCAAAGAAACTTGCAGGCTGTCTACCAGCTAAGCACAAATTAGCTAGAACAAGTGAACTATAATGATAAAGTCCCCAAACATTGCTTAAAGCTGCATATTCAAATGAAAGTCAATACACAGGGAGAAATAGGGCATATGAGAACAAAATCAAATCTCAAACTACTAGAAGGATGACTAGTGTAGTATGCTCCAAAAACTGAGGAAAAAAAAGTAATTCTGAGAGGATAGATCAGACTGGTATTTACAGAGGACAGAAGAACTATCTACAGTCTTTCTGAAAGGCCATTTTCTACTTTCAAGTTCCAAAAGTGAGAGACTTCAGAAACTTTAATAGAAGAGCTGAAAGGGGCAGAGTGAGACTTTTTCTAGCTGCACATTTTGACCATTATGTAATTTCCATCAATACAAGAGAGGCATTTTCATTTCTGTAGGTATATTCAAAGACATTGGCTCCTGAACTGGAAGCAGACATAAGATAACCTACTAAATCCTGGAAAAGAACAGTCTCCAAACATTTTATTAAAAAAGTGCAATGAAAATAAAAATTTCTGACCCAAATCTTGAATCCTAAGATTGTCTATTATGGAAGCTTTATTATCTATGAAGAACAAACTGCTGGCGTTATCTCAGCCTGATAAGGAAATCAAAGTTTAAATCAGTCATGCAAACAAAACAGTAGACAGCTTAGCAGCAGTTATTCCAGCGAGCTTTTTCCCTCTGCACAACTGCTTGCTGCTTCCAGAGAGCCAGTAATTACTTTGCAGATTAAGGAAGCTGCAAGCAGGCCTGGCTGTGTTCAACACCTCCATGCCATTACATATTTGATGGAAGAGCATGCTGGAGAGAGAAGTACAAATACCAGTAATTTCATTGCTCTCCTTAAATGCCCAGTGTGCCAATGTCAGTGACACTCTACAGCAGATCCCTTGGCCCCTAGGCACTAGTGAAAATGGTTTGTCAGGTTGGAGTTTCTTAGGTGTTGCTTGTACTCATTGAAGAACAGGCTAAGAGGGACTTGCTGTGTTAAATTTAGTCTTTGTTTTACTCCACAGGCAAGCAGGAAAGTTTCTTTCCTAACTTATCCCAATTTCCTCCTGTGTTATTTTAATGCAAGCTGGTTTTGCCCCACCCATGCAGCACCAGAAGAACAACTGCAACTGCACACAGGATTTTGCACTGGATGGGCCAGCTGGAAGACAGGGTTTAACAGGGAGCGTCTGCTTAGGCTGCTGCATTTAACAGCTTCATAACTGCTGTGTTCAAGGCTGGAAGGGACTTGGGTTATTTCCACTTGTTGCTGAAGGTGATCATACCAATATTATCCTATTTGGCTTTTTTTGTAAAGCAAGGAAATTGGAGTCACACGACAGCTGCAGGGAAGAGCCTGCTGGGGCACTGACTCAGGTGTGAGTGCTTCCAGCACTCGGCCATTCACAGAAGACATTTCAGTGCACAGGGCAAACCTAACTCTGACAGCATCTGTCATAAAAGACAATAAAACCCCTAAAAATGTATCGTGCAAGGTACTTCCAAGGTCTTCACCGGGGTCTTTAAAAGACAGGACAACACACAACTTCTGTAGCCCTGACTGTAGTGTGTAAAAAAGGCTTAGAGACAATTATATCTTTAAAATGACCTTGTGTCTGCAAGTCCTGGAGTTATTGCAATTGTAAAAGCATCATCATTTACCCTAGTCTTCCTTCTGAAATCATTTCAGATAGCATAGTAACCGCTGCTACTAACTGTTCCAGTGACACTGACACCAAAAACATAATACGTCAGCCTCTCAGGCTAATTAAATACAGAAGTAAAACAGCCATTACCTCAGGTAACAGAGTTTCCCCAAGAGTTTACAGTGAATGTCACTTCAGTTAAAATTAATCATCAAACGTGATATAATCACAGAGGTGACATTAGACTAGATGACTTGGTGCTTTGCTACAATCAAGTTTATTTCACCAAGTGATCAAATCCACAGTTAAAGAAATAAATTCTGCACTTCAGCATATTTTGAATGCCACCCCATATCTAAGAAGGAGCTCATGCACAGACAAGAAATGGATAAAGGCAGGCAGCACATGCTTAATCTCCAGACTGATAAATACCAACCCTGACCTAGAGAAATCACCCAAAGGCCAGAACTCCTATGTCTAACAGGGCACCTTCCCATCTGCCAACTGTATGAACTCATCTCACGTAAGTCAAAACAAGGCTTGAGTACTGACCACAAAGGTGGAGTCAAAGAACACTTTGCCCTCTTAGATTAAGCCACATGTTATCCCGGCATTCCCAAACCACTGAGTGACGTCCACATCTCTTTCTTCTGCTGAAGAGAACTAAACCATAGGGAACCAGCAGGAAGAAAATGCCAGCTCTTCCAAGAGTATTTTGCTGCTCAGTGTGGCCAAGCAGCACTTTAAATATGACACCTCTGTAAAGCATTCTGTTTTCCCCAAGATGCACAAACAAAAGGAAGGTTCCCTATCAGTACATTTACAATATTTTTTTTTGTCGTTAACACCACCCTCACATTTTTAAAGAAATGTTTACCATGCAGAGCCTCACTCCCCCACCCCAATTCTTCCTCTGAGAAAAAAGGCTTTACTTCTGATTGATTCTAAATGGCCCTCTGCTTCCTCTGGCCATTGTTCCAAAGAGGGAGGAGTATTCAAACCCACAAGTTTGTTTGAGATTTCCTGGCTGAAACCACAAAGCTCATCTTTACATATACTCGCTTGTCCAACAGAATTATTGCTCCTGCTGCTTTCCATGACCCCAGACACTGAGGCACACACAGCAGGCTGGGAACCTAGCCTTTTGACTTCACAAAGTGCCAGAAGGACACTTAAGTTGTTTTGAGACCCTGAATAGGTAATCAGTTCTCAGCCTCAGAGAAGGACAGATTTTTTCTGCTGTATCACAAGATTTGTATGCTGTGAGACAACAGTCTCCCAGCTCTGTCCAGCAGAAAGGGCACACAGTGCAAACTATTCTGCACTAGAGCCAGGTGAGAAGCAGGAACTCAGCTCACAAAGGGTAAGGAATAGCGTTCATAGTGTGGCCAAGCAAAGAACGCCTCCCTCAGAAAGAAGCATCGGAAAAAGTACAGAATTACTTCTGGAAACACAGACAGGAGACAGATTAGCTAATCTTCCTGTTGTGCAAAATCTGACTGCAATTAGGAAAATGAAAGTTGATTGCCTAAATACTCAAATCCTGCGTGTGCTCCCTGAATTTATCTCTGTCCCTGAGGTCTACCCTGCAGCTTCTGTAGTTTTTAAGATGCATTCTAAACCAAGTCCATTCCTACAGAATCAATCAATTGCCACGGCAGCAAGAGTTAATCACGCACAGCTCTTGCCAAATGTTTAAGTCGTATCAAAACAGACTGTCACAGGAAGACAATTAACACTTATCTGGCAGAAAAGATACAGTGCAAGCAAGGTAAGCGTAAAATCAGATTTTGAGGCTCCTCTTCCTTCCACTCTGAGACTGCACAGGGGCAAATATTTTGAATATGATTTCAGAGGAGAAAGCAGCTGTCAGATCCCCATACTCTCTGAGAATATACTAACCCATAGCAATGAGAGACCCGAGGGCAGAAAAGAATTGGTAAAACTGCATTACGCTTGCTCCTTCCAGAGCACATTCATTCCATACCTTTATTTCAGAAAGCTGCATGACTTCTGGGAAGACTTCAATGCAGTTGGAGTGAGCAATTACAGTATGCATACGTCTGCAGTTCATGATGGTTGTTGGAATGGCTTTCAGTTTGTTCCCACTAATATCGATTTCCTCCAACTCTTCCAGCTTGGCCATTTTGCTACGAAAACAAGAATTTGAGAATTTTTCTTCTAATAGATGCATACTTTATTTTGAAGTGGTGATAAGAGCAATGGTTTTGTTACTTTAAGAGAACAAAATTTTGTTCACAGCAGGGCCTGTCATCTCTCCTCATGTCAGATACTAACACAGTTGTGGAAAAAAATGTGTACTTCTTCTGTCAGTGTTTGTTAATGCTACCTTTCAAATTACTTTATTTTGCTTACATCCCCCCTACTCACCAGCTCACCTTCACTCTTTCCTCCTTTCTCCCCCTTTCTATCAACTCTAGTTTCTCACTACATCTCTCCACCTCACATTTTCCCCTCCTGCTTCTAGCACCCCACTCAGCCCTTCCTCTTAAATTCATCTCCTTCTCCTTGCTGTTGAAGCCCAGCTGCTCAGAATATCACACAAGGACAGAGATGTCTCTTCCATTATTTATTGGCATCTCTTTTTCAAGGTTGTACCCCATCAGTTTTACAGCACATCTTACACTTGAAAGATTTCTGATTAAAACAGAGTGAACTGAAAGCACAGAAATTGCTGCCAAGGCAGAATCTCCTTCTGGAGTCGAGAGGATTTTTCCCTAGTGGAGTTTAGTCCACTTCCAGAGGACATTTCCAGACGGCTGTGCTCACAAATCTCTTGTGAGGAGAAGCTCACCAGGTGTAAGCAAAGTTAGCAAGCCAGGGAGAACAGAAGACCTCCTTGCTTGACTTCCAAAAGCATAGAGTGACCATGCTGAATTAGTCCAGCTGAGAAGAGTTTCAAGCACCACAAAAACTCACCAAGTAACAAGCATCACTCGCTTGTCTGTACTGCTAGAGAGGGCAGCAATGTGCAAGAGGGTTCATAAGCGGGGGAATCCACCCACTGTAGTACCACTACACCCAAAATGCAGCCTCTGCCACCGCATTCCTGTGCAATTTGGTTCTCGCTGTGAAAATGCTGCACGATGCCCACCCACCCGTGGGCCAGAGGCAGTGAAACGAGTTCCTTACCTTGCAGGGAAGCTCTGTAGGCGATTGTAAGCCATGTGCAAGATTTTCAGGTGTGGGTGGCCTGTTAACAAGGGTACACATTTATCTGTGAGGTTGTTATTGGTCAAATACAACTCCTGCAAGATGCTATGGGTTTCTTCAGAAAGGGTGGCTGGAGGAAGCATTTCCAGTTTGTTGGCAGAGGCATTAAGAAATCTCAGGCTGCAAAGAAAAGTTACATAAGGGAGTTCAGTCAAACACTCGGCAGGTTTTGTCTAGAAATAGAAATAAAAATCACTATTTTTAAGAGTTAACTTAAGATAGTCATAAGGTAAAGGTCAAAAGCAATAAGTTCACAAAAGACCAAAAGTCTAGCATCACAGGAGCAAAACTTGTGATCATGTTTTTAATGGTCACATTTGTAAGAACTAAACATCAGCAAAAGGAGTACATCGAAGTGCCTCTATCCTGTTATCAAGAGCTCTGTATCTCCAATGTTACTACAGTTGTAGCTACAGGTAAGAGCAATAACAAACCAAATCATTTCCATACTCATTACACGCAAAAATGAGTTCCGTATTCATCATCAACGAACCATGAGAATTGCCTTTCAAATGACTAAACAAGTCAATGGTAAAAAAGCCAGACTATTTTTCAGTCTTGGTCTAAGTGCAGACAGTATTTTGTTTAAACATGCAGGCCTGAGAGCAACTGCAAAATATGAAAAGTCCTCTTTGAATATTTGGATGAAAAAAGATGCATCAATCACAACAAAAACCAAAACCTGAGACCAAACAGCAATTTATGCTTTCAACTTTAAAGAGAAACTGTGCTAGTAACAAATTAAACTTTAAAAATTACATCCTTGCTTGCTGATGTGTGCAGCAAGAGAGCCTTATCTCTGTGTAGGTTTTCTGAGTGCCCTTCCCCTGCTCCCCAACACAGCAAGAGCCCGTATTTTTGCAGTCCCGTCACAAGGGAAAACGACTCAAAGAGCACAGAAACTGAGCTATTCTTTCTGTCCTAAAGGCCTATTCCAGGATGGAAATAATACCTGCTGAGGTACAGGCACTGCCCATTCCTGCCAGCAAAGTTCTGTGGGCAGAGGATTCATGTTTGTTAGGGGAGTACGGTGGTCACAGCAGCACTGTAGGTATCTTGATGGCTAGATCTCTCACCAGCAATTCCAAACAAATGGGAAAGTAAGACTATTTATCCTTTAGTAACCAATTCTGGCATGACTATGCCTTTTCAACAGCTATGGGACCTCTCTTCTTTCCTTCTGTTTTCAGAAAAGGCTGCCTTGGAGCAATGCAGAAGGAAGTGTGGGCTTTCCAGTCTGCAGCGACTGCGTTCAGACCAGGCTGTCCTGCTCCTACCAACTAATGGGAACAGGCAGCTGCAGAGAGCAAGGCTGCATTCAAGAAAAAAAGACTCATAAAATGTGCTGTCTCAAGCCTGTAAAGCCCACTGATCAGGACACAAAAGGTAGGTGCGTTCCTGTCATCGATTTTAAGAGAAAGTGATAAAATATTGATGGCTGCTCCCATGCACGCAGGAGTCCACACTGACCTTTAAGGTCTATTAATGAATGAAGTGGATTTGCAGGAGTAGCAGCTGGTTCAAACTTGCTCAGCAGTAAATAAGGGTCAGGCATGCTACAGGAGTCACGTGGAATGCCAAAGGATTTTTAAAAACCCACTATTTCCATCAGGAGCAAAAGCTTCTCAGCACTGCACAGAACTGAAACCAGGTTAGCTGTTTTACACAGACAGAGGAATCCACTTCAGAGAAACACAGTTTAATCCTCAGGCTCATTCATTATTCACAAGGATGCTAAAAATCCAGAGGAGGAAGGGAGGAGAGGAAGGATTAGTACAGAGAAGGAAGTAAGATGCTGAAAGGGGTTTTTAATTTATTTATTTATTCTAAAATGATGCTCAATTTCACCCTTTAGCTACAAACTAAAAATATACTAAGCTCATTCAAGGCTGTATCATTAAACCAAAGCGTACCACATCAACAGATCCTGTGCTTAATTAAACAGCAGCAAGTACAGCTATTACTAAAGTACAGACAGTTACTACTCAGGCAACTTCAATCAAACATGCATGGGAGTCTTCCCTCTCCACAAGATAAAGGCACTTTGATTAACATTAAAGCCACAGAATTTTTTGTACCATTCATAGTACAAAATGGTCATCTTCAGCTCAAGCTGGAAAGGCTTAAGAAACAATTAGGTTTAAGGCTGCTGGAAAAAAGTGAGTTGTCACAGGAAAGATGGGGATAAGAGGTGACAGCAAAACACACCCTGAGAAAGGTGTGTTCTGAAGAAGAACCTCTATCTTAGTTTTGCTCTTGCAAACTGCATAAGAACAACGTGCAATGTTGCACAGGTACCAGCAGCCAAAGAGGTGATTTAGAGAACATCATAGCCCATGGCTGTGAAGTCTGGTCAACAACAGCTAGCCCAAAGTACAACTAAAAGCTTCAGTTAAGAAAAGGTACATTACTCTGATACAGCTACTACACTAATACAGTGTACTATACTGTAGCCATTTTAGACTCAAAGAAAAAATTAATCACTCTTCTGTTTCTAATAAACTTTCAGCATTGGTGAAATGTAACAAGATATTTCAATTTGTTCCCTCACTGGTAATAAAAGTGAGTGGAATCTGTTTGTTCTTGTCAGAAATAACTTTTGATGTATGTATTTTCTAATGGGGAAGGGAGAGAGGAGAGTTGATGCTCTGCACACACATACCATTCCCCTCAACCTGATCTTTTGCTAAATCTTCGAGGGAGTGATACAGTGACACTGGCAAAAAATCCCCATCATCCTAATCTACAGGCTACTGCCTTGTGAACAAAGTTTAGGTGACTAGCAAAAGTCTTGCCAACAGCTTAGAACAGGAACCCTGAGGTAGCAGAGTGTCTCACCTTAAACAACTGACAGTCAGGGTCAGAATAGTCACATACTCATCTCTGTCTCCAGATGACATAATTAGAATTAAATCAGCTTTTGGAAATTAGTGTGTTGCTTGCTTGCATGTTTTTAGGCCAGTTGTTACATTAAAATGGCAAAAACCATTCTGACATCATAATTCTTTCAAGATATTGTCTAGATTTAAAAATAAAAATGAAATAAAATAAAATAGTGACACTATTCTTTGGGTAGAGAACAGAATGAATCATCAGATTGCTAGTACTAAAGATTTATCAATTCTGTACTATAATTTTATGTTAAAAACAAACAAAAAGAAAAACCAACCTAAAGCAACCCCAGAACAAAAACCCAACAACCAAAAAAAACCAGCAAAACCTAAAACTGTAGTTGCCCGTCAGGTTTTCCCTCACACTGATTTAACACAGGAGTCCTCCTCCAACTTATTTCCACTTCCCCATTTCTTCATCCTTGTGCAATGTGCCAGCTGCTACCTTAGAAGGCACATCTTATAAATGCCCTCCAGACGAGTGGAGATTTACTTGGAAACAACTGTTCCCATCTCTCTTGTGCATGAACTTAAACTGATTCATGTTCCTTGAAGATTTCCCACTCATTCTGCTTATCAGATGGAAGCAGAATGTCAAGTATTAAAGCTCAGTCCAAAATTAATTGTTTCCCCTTTCCAATTCCACCCACACACTATACCACAAGCTCATGAAAAAACTACAGCATCACTACAAAGACCTGGATTCAGCAGCCTGTGCACATACCAGAGCACAATACAGCCAGGAAAGCATGAATTAACAAGCACTAAAAGAGTGTAGCAGATGAAGAAAGAAATGAAAGTGCTGGCAGGGAGATGTCTGAATTCTTCAGCTTGGACAAGGTGAATAGTCTCCTCTGGCAAAATAACATAAACAGTGATCTCTGGCTGGAATAAGTCACCTTTGGTTTTTTGGGGTATTAAGTCATTTGCTGGACTTAACTTTTCCAAAAGACAAAAATAAGAAAAAGGACTGTCCCAAAGAACAGGCTAGAAACGAGGGCATGGATTTAATTCAACTAAAACCACCTAATATGCAGTCATATCCATTCCCTGTTCATACCCAGAAGATTCCACCTCAATCTGAGCTTCTAAAAGCAGAGGAAGAATATCTTCTATATAAAGCTGCAAAAGGTTTGAACTTTGCCTACCAATGCCTACCTCTAGCACACACAAAAGCTGAATAGAGACAATCGGGAGAACACAGCTCTGAATTCCTCACCATTTTCTGAGGCAATTTGACAAACTTGCCTTGCTGGGCAAGACACAGCCATCACTGAAAAAAAAAATAAGTTCTCAAAAAAGCTCAGGAATGTTTGACACTAAAAAGAGGAAGACAGACAACGGCATTCTTTGGTGAAGCAGCAACAAATCAAAACCACTGTGTTTAGCTTGAAAGTACTGATAAGAGTTGGAAAAAACACTGCAGTTACAAAAAGAAAATATGCAGAGAAATCAAGATCTCCAGTTTGGCCAATGCCCCAAGATCTCCACCAGTACAGAGCAATCAAAATACAAAATTTCTTCTTCAGTATCTTCTGCAGAGACATGCCCTCAATTTCTGATTGCCTGAGACTAAAATAATTTATGAATGTGGTAGCAGGTGTGTGAAGAAGAATCCTGTAAGCTAAGCATGTCTGGGAGGGAAAAGAGAGAGAGGAAAAAATCAAAGCTGTTCTGCCAGCCTGTGCAGAAGGGACTATTTCTTCTTTAAAAAATAAATAAAATAAATTAAAAGATGGAAACATTCAAGTGAATCCCCTTCCTGCTGATGGACTGCCAGAAAAACCACTGCACTGCTGCTCTCTGTCAGCTCTTGCTCTCTAACCCATCTTTAGCTATTTTATAAACGGATTTCCCCAGTTTCTAAAGTACCTGCTTGCAATCCTTAACCTAGCATTCAAAGAGACAAATGCAGCTAAGCATTTCTGCAACACAAGCATGTGCATCTAACACTCAAACAGCACTTGGCATTCATTTGACTTGGTTTCCTCTCTCACACTCCCCCTGCATCCAGGAGAGGACTGAATCCTTGCATCACAAAGAAGCAGCCACAGTGGGTGGAAATGGCAAATATCAAATGAGAGAAAATTTAACTGGGTCACCTTCCAGAACTCCAGCAAAAGCCAAATCCACCAAAACAAATAAAACAAATTCAAAACAAACAGAAAATCAAATGAGGTAGGAACAGCTGAACAAAGCTGAAAACAAAAATTCTGCAGACAGAGTCTAGACAAGCTCTGAATAGCTGACATTGGCTTAACAAGTACAGCTGGCCACTACCAGACACTGCAAAACAAAGCCCAAGGTTTAAGCTGTGCACATCACAGCTACAAATCTTCACCACACAAATGCTTTAAGAAGTCTGATGGCTGTTTTAAGGGTTGACATGAAAGCATTCATTCTAACTGGAAAGGAGCTTAGGCAAGAGACAAACCCTTGCCCATCTTCCCACTGTGCTTCCCCATTTTTAACCCTGCCCTGACCACTGTCTCTGTCTTTCTACTGTGCCCAGCTAAGTCTCTTGAAGACTCATTCATCTCAGCTGGAGAGCACTTGGTGCAACAGTTTCCATGCCATTTGCCTGCAAGCTGCTCAAGGAAGGCAGGAAACGTCTGTATGAGAATTGGACAGCGGAAAAGGCATCACCAGAGATGCAGCAGAGGATAGAAATGAACGGCTTCAGGAATGCAGGTGCACAAAGAAAGGTTCAGGACTCAGTTTGGGAGTTTTCCCCATCAGCTGCAGCACTTGCATGAATTCTCTGTTTTTCCAGCATATGGTAATGAGAAATGAAGAGACTATCTGGCTGCCTCCACAGCATGATCTTGCCAAGAAAATCCCCACCCCACAAGAGAAATCCTTGCTAACATGATCAAGATGTGCATACTTTCAGTGCAATAAACAGAACCAAGTTCTATCTCGGTCAGAGAGATGTGTCATAGGCTAGTCCTCAATTTCTCCTTGACTAACAGTTTAAAATAGAAAATTAATTAAAAAGCAGACCAACAAAATATCCCTAATTATATTCTTCAGCAGAAAACTACCCCATTTAATTGTTTTCTGAACGATTAAGGCAAAAAAATCAATGTTTATAGATTCTTCTATGAAGAGAACTGAGGTTTTTCAGTATTTGGGGTTTGGTTGTTGTTTTGTTGGGGTTTTTTTTGGTGAAAGCAGTATTCTCTCTTTGTGCGCCAGTGCACTGATTTCCTTTCCTTCCTTAGATGTTCTAGATGTCAAAGCCCACCAGTGCTTGTGCTAAAGTTTGCCCAAGGCACTTCACACCCACTTTGTCAAATATTCAGGATTGAGAAAGAGAAAGCGTTTATAATTCAGAGCATGAGACTTCATATCCAGACAAGATATCATCTGTCAGTTGCACAGACCCGAGTACCTTTCAAAAAAGCCAAACCAAAACAAACTCAAATCTTTTTAAGGCTGCAAAAGGCAAGTCATTTTATGCAGAGATAAAGGTACTATAAGGTAAAGTGATTTGTCCAATGTTACATGCTGGGTAGAGACCGTGGCACACTACTCGGGAGAACCAGTTCTCTTGGCACGTCTGGCAGTACAGATTGTGCTTCCCAGGGAATGCTTGGAGAAGAGAAGTATTTTACCTTATTAAAAGCAAAACAATCTCCTGAATGCCTTTCCAGACACGTTCCTGTTGACATTTAGCTGCTGATAGATGCAACCATTTGAAAACAAAAGGAAATAAGTTTTATGTAGGAAATCCCAAACTAAAAACTCTGACGTTGCACACTAATATATTAACCTGTACTGCTGTTTTCCTTCAGAGTTCTCACTTTTGCAGCAGTCATAGGAAAACCAGCATGGACAAGTCATACCATCTTAAACCAAGTTAAAGGGTAGGGATCGACAGGGAAAACACTACCCATGCCAACCTGGGTTGGGTATCTACTTCTACTATCATCACAGGCAAGGGAGGCTGCACTGGTGATGAGATGTCAGAAAAGCTCTGTTTATCTCCTGTGATGGTGCATGACTTTGTTAAGACCTATGAAAACACCAGCCCTATACTGCTCAAAAACTGCAGAGGGGAAAAAAATTCCCCAAGCCTGAATCAGCCACTTAACACTGTTATTCAAAGTATTCTTTAATTCTATCTCTTCTCAGCATATTCCTAGTAAACTTCTGGGAATCAATCCCCAGTCCAGGTTTTAGCTTTGTAGTTTTTCATTTTGGCATCACAAAAAACTAAGAAACAAACAAACCAAAAACAAACAAAAATGAACAACTAAAAAAGAAAAAAAAAAACCAACCAAACAAAAAAACACAACCAAAAAAAACCCCAACCCTGCCCTGCCTACAGATGAGCTGCAGTACAAAACAATCAGGTTCTCTGCCAAAATGGTGGCACACTACATCCCAGTGTACCTACAACCTCTTTTTAATACAAATTTTTCAAAATTATTTCTCTCATTGCTTTCAAAATACCAGGAGCTCTCTGAAAATAACTCAAAGGTTTCTTTTCTTTCCAAGTTAACACATTCAACAGTTAAAGAGTTTATTTAAAAAGCTCAACCACCAATCTAATTCTCCAAGTCAATTCCAGGAAATTTAACCAGATGCTCATGACAGAACTAACAACAGTATAAAAGGAGGGGTTTTGCAATACTCTTAATTAGGAAAGGATCTCTGCCAGCAAGATCACCACCTCTTTTGCTTCTGCATCTCTCAAGATAGCCAGGAGCTTTACATTCCTTTTGTCACAACTAGGATCAGAAATAAACACCCCCCCCCACCCCCAGCACACAATCTCACTGTCTGTTAAATTATGCATACACTGAGCACTCAGAAATCCGATGACTATATGTGGAAGTGAAGAAGTGCAAGGAATGCTGACACCAAGTGGGGCCAGCCCATCCACCATTCCCAGATGATGCTACCAACCTCCTATACTTCAATCACAGTCACTTGAAGGATATGTTCATATTCAGAAAAAAAAACAAAAAAAACCCCAAAACCTTTTAGAGTCTGATACTAAATAAATAGCAACATGAAAATAAAAATAAGCATCCAGAAAGCAGATCAAGTGGTGACACTAGCTAAATTAGTGACAAACATTTAAAAAGCATAGAAAAAAAATCAAAAAGTAGGGACAGGGGAATAACTGAATTATTCTGACAGCCTGATGCATAGATTTTGTTTTGTTTGACAGGTATAAATAAATTCTAGCCTCTGACTGAAGGGGGGAAAAAAGCTTTCACACTTCATCAAACAAGCCTAAGAAATATGTATTTAAAGAAACTGCCACTAAATCGTTTCAGTATATGTAGTAGAAAATAGCATGTGCTTAACTCTACAGCTAGATTTCAAGAAGTAGGTGTTCAGCAGGAGCTTGGTGGGAAAAAAGAAGCAACCATATAAGGAAACAAAACCAGAATAAACAGAATGTGCTCTGGTGAGTTGGGCAGACATCTGTTCTTACCACACAAGGCTTGGCAACTTTCAAATTAGAGGAACCTCAGATTACCCTCTGAACCAGGAAGTAACAGGCCAAGCAAGGTTCATCATATGCAAGTCAAAAGGATCAAATTTATTTATAATTTTACCTGTCTGCTTTCAAAAGCAGGTTGGATGGCAGTTCCAGGAGCTGGTTGTGCTGCACGTCCAGGACCTCCACCTGCATTCGCTCGAGCCGATCTGGGAGCCTTCCCAACATGTTGTGTCCTGCCAGCAGCTTCCGCAAGCTACTATTGTAAAACAACCTTAAGAGAAATAAAAAACACCAAAAATGAGAAAAATTTAAACTGAAGAGTTCCTCTGATAATTTAAATATGGTATCATGGTTCATTATAAGAAAGTGATTCAGCCAACTGATTAGCAGACGTGGTATTAATTACGCACAGATCCAAGAATGTCTTCCCACTCTACACCAACTTCTTCAAAAGGTTTTCAGAGACAAGGAAGGAGGTTCACAGATGACTCAGGAGTGAAAGTAGTGACAAAGGGTTATTTTATGGCACTGTATAAAACATGAATACAGAAGCACAACAGTGAAGGAGGCAATTGCTAACAAAGACTGCAGAAATCTGCACATGTGGGATCCCCCATGCAAGCACTTCAGAAGTGGGGGTGAAATCACTAGTCACCCCACAAGCTTTATAGTGCTCTACTCATCATGTGCTGACTCATAATCCAATGCAATTCCCCACCCCCACAATTTTTCTTTTCTGTTAATACCAGACTTACATAAAGCCTCCTTTCCAGTTCTACAGCAAATGAAATTAATCTAATCGGCTTTACTTTCTTGAGTTTTTACAACCAATAGATGATCTGGAGTCCCACCCCCCTGCTCCATTTTTTGTGGGGCTAGAGAGAAGGAGAAGGGAGAAGAGGGCAACATAAAGAGAAAAATAGCTGTTCTGATCAAAACATATAGCTAAGTTCACAGGATAAACAAAGGAATGCAGGTACGCACCTAAAGAAACCAAAAACAGAGCAACTCTCAATTTTGAACAGAAACCACTTTCAGCAAATTAAGACAAAAAGATTATTCTTCATCTGCCACATGTCTTACATTTGTCTTACATGCCTGCTACTGTACTATTTAATCTGGAGAGCCCATGCAACATGCTGACCTGCTTCAACCAAATACTCTCAAATTATTCAGCATTAAAGCAAGAATCTTCTTCCCTCTGTCACAATGACCCAAATACACATAACGAGCCTCCCACCCCCTTCCCTACAATGCATCAGGTCATGGGATTATTGTGCCAAAATCATCAATCAAGCACGTTGAGTATTTTCCCCTTGACAGATACCGTCACTCTCAGTATCTGCATGCCAGTGTTAGCAGTTATCTCACTTGGCTGGATTGTCTGAGTTATGACCATGGATACAAGTCAACAGCCAGCCCTATCATTCCAGAAGGCTCAACACGGGGTGAAAAGACTTAACAAAGTGATAAGCCTATCTATTATGTATTCATTATTTAACCATTTTTGGTTTGCTCTATTTTTACTTGAAAATCTCTCAGTTATGGATTTGCCTTTGTACTCTATTTTTTGAGACTGGTTAATACTGTCAACACCAAATATCAGGGTAGAAAACAGAACTGGCTGACAGCAAAAAAAAAAAAAAATTTCCTTGGAGTTTTTTTGGGGATGGTTGGGGGCAGCACCATTTTAAAATTTTTTAAAAAGCTAAAATCATGCCAAAATCCTCAGAGATTTTCTCTTTCCATAATTCAGAAGAACTTAGTAAAACTTTGGGGGATTTTTTTTTTAATTTGTTTTCTCTTAATTTTTTAAGTCACACAAGCACTGAAGGACCTGGGGTGGCTGAAAAGAGGTTGAAGAGTATTTAACTAAACAAGCTCCTGATGAGCCTGGGATGCTTAGTACTCAAGCTGGGTGGGGAACCAGGATGCTGGGACTGCTCTTCCATATGGGCAGCTTTCCCACTTGCTCAATTCCCACTGGAAGTTTTTGTGAAATCAATAAATTCTAAGGACAAGCACATCATTCATCATCAGCATCTTCTCAGAAAACACGGCTTGGTGTAAGCATTCTACCACCTCCTTTACTGAGCAACTCTTCAAGAGAACACAATGCTGAATACAGATAGATCTTCTTTAAAAAACAGACAAAAAGGAACAAAAACAAATATAAACATCTATTCTGATGGCAACAAGATCATTTTGGCAACTCCTAATTGAAGCATTTCCTTTCTCTTTTGCAGTACGATTTTTATGATTTTGTCCTGCATAGCTAAGACCGAGTACCCTTTTTTGCTATTTTTCAGTACTTTTAAAACTAAAACAGTTGCATTACAGTCCAGTCCATTTTCCCTTTTCCCTTAATTGAGACAAATGCTAGTACAGAAACCTCTATCTCAAACTGCTTCAACTCTTTGTCTTCAAGGACTATTTTTCTGTTTCAAGAGGCAAACACACAGCATCAAGTGTAGTTTGTTTAGATCAGATGCAATATTCACCCCACCAGGAATATGCTGGTCACTCAAGGGTTGAACATTTGTGTTTACGTGTCACAAGCAGCCTCCTAGGAGAGCCCTGCTGATTCACTTCACAGGTTTTCAGAATGCAATTCTACGTAGAAGAAGTAAAGAGCAGAGCACCTGAACTCACTCATTCAGTTTTTACTTGCATTTACTTCACACTTCAGCATGTTAAGCTATTTGCATTTGAGTCCAGACTCAAATTTCCCCTGAAGTTTAACAGATATTCAAAGCCTGCCTTTTGAATGGAACAGGACCTAAAACTGAGCTGACTTATTAGGAGCTAAGCTATCTAGACATATACTACAAAGAAGAACTTTCAAAGATAAGCTATTTCCTGGGGTTAATGATAAGATGGCAGGAGAGACAAGTGGGATGTTGACTGTACCTAATTTCAGCTAATCATTAATCTCCCAGAGATATCCGGTATGCCTTGAAAGTCCTGGCTGTTATGAAGTGCAAATGAAAGAAAAATGAACTTTTACACCCCCACCTTCTGAGCTGGCACAGCTTCATTTTTTGTGTGTGTGCACATGAAAAAACAGAGGGATTAATGGTCTGCACATCAGCCTGCTAGTTTGCTTGGTAAATCTCCTCACATCCTCTTCTGCCCATATTTTTGAAATCTATTCTTTTCCCATTTCTGATGCTGAAATGGACAAGTTTACACCATCTTACACATCCACCTAAAAACTATCATTCTTGGTTTCTGATGCTTTTCTGTGCTATACAGCTCCTTAAGGAAAATATTTGTACTTGACAGTCATTGTGAGTCCCTTCCAACTCAGCTTATTCTGTGATTTAGTAGCTCATGGTACATCATCATCTTACACAACATCTCTTTCAAAGTGTACAGAACAACCTAAAATGACAGTGCTTTTCCAGTGAAGGCAGGAATTTAAAAATGCCCAACATCACCACCTAAACAGTATAACCCACCTGGAACAGACAGCTCTCTCCAGAACAAATAATAGCAAGACTCATTTATTATTTAAACTCAACTCCTATTTTGCTTCCTCTTGACTTCTTTTCTAAGATTTATATTTATCTATTTTAAGTTTAGACTTCTGGAAAAGAGATCATCTTGGTAGTGAAGGCAATTGCTCTTGCTGGAGTTTATTTGCTTGATGAGGCTTTCCCTTCTTTAAACCCTTTTTCACTCAAACAGGGCTGTGAACTGGAGTCTCCAAGCATCACTGAATCTAAATTACAAGTGCTGGATTTCTAAAGTGTCATGTAAAGTTATGGCTGTAAATATTTAATATTCAGTGTTAAAAATGAAGTGCTTTCCTGCCTGAACAGCCACATGAACAGCTTCAAAGTTCAAAGGCACTACCTTCCCTGCATGAAAATAAAAGAAGAAAGGCTAGGTGGAAGCTCGAGGCATGATGACACCCCACAAGGTAAAAATAAAATCAAACAAAAGATAAAACAGCCCTGACAGTCACTGGAACAAGCTAAACACTGAGTCAGCAATTATTTTTGAATTGTTTATCCTGTTCTCCATTGTGGAGCTGGTCTGCAAGACTTACCGGGCAGGCAGCTCATGTATCTGATTGTGGCCAACATCCAACACTTCCAGTTTCCTACTGTCACACACCCACTCAGGCAGGTTTTCCAGGTGATTTCTATGAATAAAGAACACAAAAAGGTCTAACTAAATTATAATTGAGATGTAAAGGCTATTAAGAACACAGCCTCAAGAGAGATACAGATACCTGCAGGAAACAAATCTGCTACATAGCGTGTTGCCTGTGAGATTTTATCATGCGTCCTTCTGCAAGTGCAGTCAGGTCCTGAGTAAGGGGGCAAGAAAGCTAACAGTGCTATCTGCCTACATATGCAGTCACTAAGAAAATGGAAAAAAAACTGCTTCCAAATTACCAGAGGAGTATTAAGAGTATCAGGGTACCAAAGCTGAAATATCTCCATGGAGAAGAAAATTTCTGAGATGCTACTCAGAAGATATTCACACCTTACACAGCTGAAATATCTCCTCAATCTCTCAAATACACTGAAATCCACTCTACCATTTTGCTACCTCACTGAACAGAGCAAATTTTTTTGCGCATATCTTTCAAGCCAACTGTTTTGCTTTTCTTGCATTTATCTTCACAGAAACTGACCCTTCTGGAAACTAACGTCTTGGAGGCAAGGTTTTCCAAATACTGCACCAAAAACATGCAAATAGGCACTATGGGGCACTCCTGCATCCTGCCTTAGAGAAAAAAATTAGCAGCACAAGATACATGGAGGAGATTGTGTGCAAATGCACACAATTCACATAATGACTACTTGAGTCAGAATACACAGATGCAAACTGGGCATCAAATAATAGTCAGACACTCGCAGACCTGAAGTTCAGGAATAGGATGCTTATGAACCATGACTATAAATCAATCATGTACTCATATCATTTAGTTTATTCCTGCAATAATCCTAAATCAAACAATGGCAAACCAACCCCTCTTATCAGATAGCTTCCTTTCTGGTCTCAAATGTATTTCCCAAATTCCAAGAGAGCCAAAAAGCTAAGGACACCCTACCCATTTAGTTACAATGCCATCACTGCAATGAAGTACAAAAAGAGTTTTGTGATCAAAATCATGCATTCTGCACCGATTTAATTACCAAATAAATGGAGGACACAGCTTTTCCAAGATCGCTCTTCAACAAATCCCTCATTCAGTCACACCAGTGTGTTACATTTAGGACAATGAGAGTAACTCAGGGCTGATCAAACTTCTGAGTTGATGGCCGCTAGCCCAGGTAGCTCACTAATTGTTATGATCACCCTCAACACCTTGAGTGCTTTACACAGGTTTTTAATGAATGAGATTATCACTTTAAATGCAGGTGAGTAATTTCTTAAGTAAGACAGCCATTAGGCACGTGTATAAATGTTTTCCTGATTCATTCCTGGAACTGTAAAACAAACTAAAACACCTCCTTTTCCATTTCTTCCCTTATCCCACCTCCCTCATTAAGGTGAAATTTATGTATGCATTGAAATGGCAACTGTAGACATCCCTGCAGCAGCCGGGGCTGCAGAGAACTACGAGGAGCTGCAGAAGCTGCCAAGCTGATGAGTAAACTATCAAACCATCACCTACGCTGGGCTTACGGTGCAGACACATCCAGAAAGTAACTACCAAACAAGCCTCATATTGGTGTGCATTTGAATCATCATGTTCTAACTCCGTAAGACAGAAAATCTTTAAATCATGGAAACTCTTTAACTATAAAGAAATACAAATTCTGATTTGCGCAGTAATAAAAAAAGTAAACCTATAAAAAGAAAATGGGAAAGAACTGACCAGCAGGAAAAAAGCATCCTCTAACTCTGAAAATTAGTCTTTTCTTATACCAAGGTCCAATTCCTACCCCCATTCCCACTTAGCAAGATGACAGTGAATGTCATTGTTCCGTAAGTCTCTTTGATTTATATTTCACAGGTCCAAGAAAAAACATACTCTTACCTAGAAATATCCATGTAAGTCAGGCAATTAGGAACTGGATACACATCAAGGTGAACAAGTTCTAGGGGAAAAAACATATAACATGAAAAGTGGTGATGAAGATTTGCACTTAAGTTACTGTTCCAGAAGAACTATTTTAAGAGCTAACACCCAGAGATTTCAGACCGTATCAATAACCTAAAAAATTTCTGAAGATACGGACCTTTGTGAACCCCTTGTGAGCTCTGTTTCTTTATTATGTTTTAGTACATTTGCTATGTTACATTGTGCTTGCTATGACTGACACTGCATAACTGATCATGGATGACAAAATGGAGGACTTTGAAAGTTCCACGGCAAATTCTCATTTCTTCCATTTTTGTCACAAGAGCTGTAATTTCACCTCCGCCGCCCTCTGCCCAGAAGAGTCAGTCACAAAACTGCTCTACTTTTTTCTCACTGGTCACTTGAGATATAAGCATGGGAAGGGAACCTCCCCACTCTGGAACAGCAAGTTACAGAATACCAGAATCCTTTAGGTGACGGCAAGATCCAGAGTATTTGTCAACACATTACATAAGCTTTGGCATGCCTGTGGAGCTCCCAGTTGCAGGCAGCCTTACAGATCTTTCATAACACAACTACAGCTAGTAATGTTATTATTGAAGCAATCAAAATATAGTCTATATCCTAAGGTTTCAGGTAGCTAGTGCTTAGTGTTAAGTTTAAAAAAAACCAAAACCCAAGCAGACATTTATTTCAGCTTACAGAAAAATCAACTACAGTGCAACTGTAACAAGTAGTTTCTTTGGAAAATGAGATGAAAACAAGGTGGCCGAGGGTAATGAGAGGACAAGCCAGGAGGAACAGCAAGAGCAAATAGGCAGCTGGTTGCAAGACATGGGTTGACTTGGATTCTCAGCCCACATTGAACAGCACATGCTCAGATTATGTTAACTTTTCTCAGCTACAAAGATCCTGGCATGAATACTTAATGAAAGCGCAGGCTTAGATACTGCTAAGATGACAGCCTTTTAAAGGCAGTTCAGACTGCTCATCAAATGCACAGTTCTCCTACTTTGCATTTTCTTTATTCCACACTGAACTACTCTAAATGATAAAAAAATGTGGTGCAAACTGAGTATTTTAAGTAATAGCAGTTTCCAGAGACAGATCAAACAGATCCTGTTCATGAAACACAGAGACACAGTTATGCAACTGAAGAAGGCTGCATTATTTTTATTATCAAATATAGCAAATGAAGTTACCATTATAAATTTCATAGCCTTCTGGACAGGCTAAGCAGCTAGAGGGAGGAGCAAAAATTTACAGTTTTGGTTTGTCTCCCAAATGGTCACTTGTTCAAACTTTCTCAGTGCAGGGAAAAGCAGTAAATTCCTTACTGGTTTTAGTACAGCAACACATCAATGCAACCAAAACAAGTGACAAATTCGAGTACCCTCCCTACTGACATAGAGAACAATTTCTAAGATTTTCACAGTTCTTAGACTTCCAAATTATGTTATTATTTGGAAGTCACTTCCAAAGCTGAGCACATGTGAAACCCTTTTATCTAGGACTGTGTCAAGAACCTCCTGATTACGTGCACTGCACTCCACAAGCATCTGACAGAGAACCAGGTACAATGACAATACCACAGCTGCCCTGCAAATACACTCACCATTGCAAGAAGCATACAGAGCTTTGAGAAAATAGCCACTGATTTTGAGGGTCACCAGCTGATTCCGCTCACAGTGTAACACTTCCACGTTGTTAAAAACTGTTGCGTCCAGCTCCCCAAGTTTGTTGTCTCGCAGATCCAGTTGGGTCACATGATGCAGAAAATCTATTTCATCGGCCTCCAATCTCCTAATTGAATTCAATCTTGCAGACAAAAAAAGGAGATTAGGTGTAGTTATAAGGCAGGCTCCTGCTGACAAACCACTGCTCGCTCTACAATAAATCAGCTGCACTGGATTAAACTAGCAGGCTTTCAGGTTCTGATCAAGGTTGATTTTTAATATTTTCCCCTTTGCTATGTTACGGTTTTAATTCTTTGAAAAGCAGGATAGCTATGCTCTGTAGCGTTATCCATTATGACAAAGGAATGATGACACCAAGCTCCTTTCTAAACTACTTTGAAAAGTACTGATGAAAAGCTCTGCAAGAAGCTAAACATTACTGTGTCTATAAAAATAAAAGATGATCTGGCTGTTATTTGTGCCCAATAGTTTGAAAAAGAACAAAACCTCTACAGTTCTTGCTGGCCTATCATCTGCTGGAAAAATCCAGCACATACAACTAAGCAGCATGTATTGGAGACCCTTGCTTTACTGAAAGGCCAAACTGAGATTTATGAATTCCCATGTATTTGCTTCTCGCCTCTCCATGTTTCAAAGCAAGCAAATTCAGAGACCTGAAAATGGGTGTTGAAAGAAAACAAAGCAAATATCCAAGACAATTGGGTCTGACAGATAAAGAGGACAGGTTTTACACATCTTCACTGCAGGGCATTGACACTGTTAATACTCAGTAACTTCCCAGAAGTTATAACTGACTGAGATTATCTATAACCCCATAAAGTTTTAAGACTGCAGAGCACTCCAAAGAGATCAGTTTCAAATTCCCAGCTCTGAGCAGAACACTAAAATCAGTACAGTAACTTCTGCTGGCCCACTAAACCAGCTGAGCCCTCTCTACAGTAGATGACAGAGACTTGCAGTTCTCCTGTTGCTCCTGTTTTCCAAGCATTGTCCTCTGTAACAGTTATGTTTTTAGAGTAGCTACATCTTCCAGGTAAAAGAAAAAGGGTAATATGTCCCCTCCAACATCATCTTACCTTTTACATTTTCAATTTACAAGTAGTGCTTCTTTGTGATTTCACTGAAGCAAAGCACTTCATTGTACAGCAAGTACAATATATACATAATATATATAATAAATATTTACAATATTTATTAGCAGTTAGTGCCACAAAGAACGACTGTTCACTGCTAGGTGCAGAAAGGATGCAGCAGATGATGAGAGAGCTGGAACTGCACCACTGGAACTCATGGCCAGATCAGCCACAAGATCCCTTCTCTGAGGCCAATTTATTTGCTGTTAACATATGTTAACATATGCTGTTAACACAGACATATTTTAACCCTACCAGAAACACTTCAGAATTTACCTACCTATTTTAGCTAAGCTTATGCTAGCCCTTCCTAGATTGCAAAGTCTGACAGCTACATGGCAGTACAGTAATGTAAGTTTTATCTTACTTTAGCTCAACTATGTGGTTCCAAAATCCACAGTTATATGGGCCTCATGGTCCAGGCTCTGAATTGAGCCTTGACCAGCTGATTGCAGAACTTATCTTCCCCAAAGACCACAACAACAGATAACAAGCTCATACCAGAGCCATTTGTAATAAGGATCTCTTTGGACTCCTCTGATGGTATCAATAAAATAACATTACTTATGGTAGACAAGGTCTTTTAACACACCAACAAATATTAAAATATCTATTTTTGCCCTTTCACATTCAATGCCCTTTTCTTCACCTCACAAATCTATAACATTTCAGATAGAAGCTTTCTGGACCAGGGACTATCATGTCTATTGCATTAACACTGAAGCAACACAAACTGCAGGAATCACAAGCGTCCCAGGCTCTGTTTTGTTTGATCCTTTGGTGCAAACATCCATTTCCCCTGAAACTCATTTTTCTACCTACTGATCCCCTAAATGCTCCAACTTCCTCAAGGAAGAGTGCTAAGTCACGGCAAGTGCTGGGAGTTACATAACACCACCAGAAACATGGTTCAGTGGACAAACACAAGAGATTTACACCCAGAGGCAATTCTGACAGCCAAGGAGAAGCCATTTCAACACAAATAATTTAGGTTCACTTATTCTTCCCATTTTCTGAATACCTACCTTAAATCCACATGCTTAATATGAGGCATCCTTTTTAACACCTGTAGGTTCAGGGTATCCATGCAGTTTCCTGACATACAGAGCTTATCCATGGCAGTCAGCTTCTCCAGCACTCCAGGAATGTCAGTGAACTCGTTGAAGGACAGACTCACATAGCTGAGTTGATGAATATGCTCCAATTCATCGGGAAGGGACTGGAGAAAGTTGCCATCCAGCAAAAATGTCTGCAAGCTATTAGAAGAGGGGAAGGGAGAGTGAAGAAAACGAGTGACCTGTTAAATCATATTTCCCTCCTATAAACACACAAATCTGCTGCAGTTACAGTGACATACAATATACAAAAGGGCAGCAGAAAGAAAAATATTAATGAATAACACTGTAACGTGTGCTACAGAAGATATCCACCAAATAATTAAAAGCTTTGGCAGCCATGAAGTGTAGGCTGTTAGACAGTTCTATCTCCAGAACAACAATTTGTATGGCAGCCGAAGAACATAAGCAAGAAGGGTTAAAAGATTTTCTTCACCATGAAGGTGACCCTTGTGTCAAATGCTGCAGACTGGAAGAGCTCTGAGGCACAAAGTGTGCTTTCCTTCCATCCACAATTGCTTCCATATGGATCTACAAGCCAGTCTACTTTGACAGAACCCAGTAAGTTTAAACTATTTCTCATAGCAGGAGTACGCAGAGTCATGAAACTGCTTGTTGCCTTTGTCACTGCTGGCTGTGTATGTGAAAGTTCTAAGAAAGTACTTGCTTGTGCATTTCGCCTACAACTGCTGGAATGCTTCTGAGGGCATTGCAGGACACGTTGAGTTCAGTCAGGGTTGGGATACTGCAGACTGCCAGTGGGAAGTCTCCTAAATTATTATTCGAAAGGTTAAGGCTCTTCAATTTGGTGAATCTAAAATGAGATAAGAAAAAATAAAGGAAAGAAATAAGTAATCCACACTAAGTTGTCTCACAATGATTAATATAAGGCGAGTTTGATTATCTAAATACAAATCACATGCATTTTTAGTTTATATGCTCAGAACAACCAGGAAAACTACCAGACACTCAAATTCAACACGACTTGTAAGAGTTCACTCATGTTAAGTTGACAAAGAGAAACAGACCCTCCTGAAAATTAAATGCATTTTCCAATGAGTGTAACAGAACAAATCCCTTGCCATCTGTGGCATCTCACCCTGTACTAAAGCATTGCTATTTTCCTGAACCCATTTTTTGGTAGTAAAACTACCCTTAGTTTTACTATCAAAGGAGCAGGAAATTCTCAGACTATTTGAAAACTAATTTTTTTGTGGTACTGCTGACCTGTGCGCTCAGACCATTCATGTTTGCCTTCCAAACAAAAATTATCATTAGAATAGACTATTTGGAATACAAGTGGGAAATGTGCTGAATTAAAACAGAATTTAGCACTGCTTCTGTAGTGACAGAGGCAAAATTTTGTCCTTGACACGTCACAGAACTCTTTAAAGCCCCTTGGTTTATGACATCAGCCAAAAAAAAGCAACTTGCAAGTGTTTGCCTTACTAAAAATGACCAAAAGCATTTAAACAAAAAACCCAAGAACAGGACAATCCAATTAGCCAGCCTGCATGTTCAGCAACATTATTATGGTTGCCTGACAACCACTGGGAGGTGTGCCTAAAGCCAAGTAAAAGGATGAATGAAAAGATCTGTGTCAGATTCCGAGAGATGGGAGGAAGTTTCTTTTCTGGCACAGCTTATACCAGGACATTTTATCTGGACTTAATTTTCCCTTCATTAAGGATCAAGTCCTTTATTTGTGTGAGCAGACTTTTATATAACTTGGCAATGGAAGCAAAACTGCACCCATGAGTGCTGCTATTCCACATAAAAGTAATCTCCAGCAGCATGTGCCAGTGTCTTCATAGCCTCTGTATCAGCCCATTCCTACCTCAGAGAACTTTGTCCTCCTCTTCCCTAGCAGCTACTGCAATCAACTGGCACACACCTTCAGTATTGCCTAAATCAAACTCATGTCACTGACTAAAATTCAATTGAAAACGTAAGCAGTGGCTTAATATGGTACTTCGCTGAGAGCTGCTGAGCCCCAAAGGCAGGCTGTAAACACATATAGCATTGACACAGGCTTGCAGCAAGCAAGGGAATGCTGCACTCTCTAGTGCTATTTTGGTGCAATGATGGCACGAAAAAAACCCCAGAAAAATCATTGCCAGAGTTATCACAAATTTTGAACACCCTGTGCCATGCTGGAGGCAGAAGGAGTTTGGAACAAAGTTAGATGGAGACTAAAGGAAATCTTGCAATCAAATTAGTGCTGCAGGGGAAAAAATATTGTGCAGAAGCAATGACTAGCCTATCTCTAAAGGGAGAACTGCAAAAGGAGGCAAGTGTAATGGAGGCAAGGGTAAGTTAGTAAGGGCTGCTAGCCAGAAAAATAAATATGCATATTTTAAACACTTTACCATCATACTCCTCTGTTTTGAAAGAAAGGACTTAAAAATCTTGACCTAAAACTGAGACACACAATCCCACATTTATCTTGAAGATAACTGTAGAGTTAGGGCACAAATATACTGCCTAAAATTTGGGGTGCTTCTGCGGTGGAACAGCTGTCCCACATCATGCTCAAAGTTAGCTGCAAATACAAACAAGAGTGCTCCAAGCACTGGATTCTGAGCCTTTAGAATAATTTCTCCCACTATTTACGCAAGTACAAAAAAAAAGTGAAAATGGGAAGATTAAGTCAAAATAACTCAGCTGCTGGAGAAACACCAAAATGTAATCTTTCCAATTTTCAAGCCAACCATGAAAAAAAGAATTAACTCATTTAAAAACCACAGCGAGGCTACAGCCTTTACCTCTGTCACTCTGTAGTCTCAAAAGGATAGTCTCAGGGCTTTTGTCCACTAAACAATCTACTAGAAGATCCCAAACACAACCTTGAGATAAAATTACAGAAGATCAAACTAACAGAGGAAAGAGTACTGGGGCAGCAGGTGGTAAAGGAAGCTAAGAAATACAATAACTCCAGTGTCATGTTCAGCTTCAAGGTTTTCTGCATACATTCTTGTGCATATCTGCCCTAGGTCAAAGAGGAAGAGGGGAAAAAAAGTTCCCCCTACACAATGTATCTGGATTACATCTCTACTACTCTAATGTATGTTGTAATGTGTGCTTAAAGGTCTTTGGTGAGTAATCTAACTACTCAGGACACAAACTGATCTGGTTAACAGGCCTATGAAGTGCATAAGTGAGGATGCATCCAGTATTGGATACACTCATACAAAATGCACATGGAAGTGCACATCAAAAATCCACAAATGAAAGTTCATTGTTGAATCACATTTACAGAAACGCTGAAAGACAGACACCATAGTCTTAGTTAAAGTTAAGAGACTATTCTAAGACATCTGGCTGGAAGAGGTATTTTCTTCCCCTGTTGCAAGCATGTTCATTTAGAAAATGCTAAAGTAGTATTTCTTCTCATGGAGCACTGTCAAGTGCAGAACATTACTGAGCCAAACTAGCAGACATTTGCTCTAAGTTAAGATCTAAGTCTACTTCTCATCTTTGGCTACTCTCTTCACACTATCCACATCACAAACATGCCAGTGTACTTCTGTTATGGAGCACTGCCACACTGCACATTTAAAATGCTGAATTGTTTATAGAGCTTCTTATATCTAGACAGATTTACAGTCAGTCACACCAGTATCACATCACACTTGTATATCACATCAATATAAATAAGGTAGGAGAGAAGTATTTTACAGACTCAAGGTTTCTGCTGCAGCTGAGTTTGCAAAGCATCAGGCTTCCAACAGATTTTACAAAGCAACATCTTTGCTGTTTTCTCACATCCAAATCTTTACTCTTGTCAGAAGCAGGCACACACATCAATGCTGCCCACGTGGCATTGCTAGAAATAAAAAAAGGCACAACATTGCTCGTGTGAGGCATGACAATGTAATAGCCTCATATCAAGTCCATACATATGCTTTTCATCCTTCTTCCACGGTTCCAGACTTTGTTATCTCTTAGTAAAAGTCAACCTGAATGAAGAACAGCATCTCTCAATACACTACGCTCAGTTAGCTTACTAAGCTTTCTATTGTAATGGCCAATACATAAACACTTACTTTGCTGAACAAAAATAGCCCTACTTTAAGCTAGAGCAAAAAGTGTTGACATGTCAACCCTTGGATTTAAACATGCAATATGACTGAACACTAATTGCCCTAATTGAGCCAAAAACTGCCCACTTATTAATCCTGAAGCTGCCACTTCAGGAAGGGCTTTAGTTTGACATATGAAAAATATGGAGAGGGACTAGCAAGAAGTTTGCATCACAGCAGAGGAATGAACTACTGACGGGCTAATTTCAAATTCAGATCTACCTGGTGTGAACAGAAGAGTAATTTCCATTACACAGCAGAGGAATTTCCAGTATAGCATTTGTGTTCCACTATCTTTGGGGCAAGGGGAATAGTGTATTCCAACTGGTGGCCATACACAATCAAAGAAATCCAGCCATAACAGGCTCATCTGACAAAACTGGTCTTGCCCTACCCTTACCAAAAACAATTAAAAAGCAGTATTTTACTTCACCTGTAAGGGAAGGCATGGCTTAATAAAAAACTCAGTCTAAGGAAAGCAATCACTTTCCCAAACCTATCTCCAGAACCTGGGCTCTCATGACTATGCTGTGGTTACAGCTCAATATTATTTTCAAGCATCAACGTAAGGGTCCCTCATTTTCAGCACCATTTCTGAGCAGAACAGTGCTTGCCTTGCAGTGCTGTGACAAGTTTTAGAACCAAACTAAAACTTACCACCTTCTTGAGCACCTGCTATTCTGGCCACTTAACCACAAAGAGAATTTCTAAAATTCTGCCATGGCAATTTCCTCCTTAGAAATAAAAGGTGCAAATTACTCTCTTTCTGTAGTTGTGTTGGATTACCCTCCGTGGCCTTACTGCCTAAGGGAGTTGCTAGCCTAGTGACAGAAATACTGTCATAGCATTCCCTTTCCAGAAAGGTGTCATTGCAGAAGTCCTAAATTAGTAATATAATTCAAATGAACAAATAATCAGATGTTAAGTCAAATTCAGACTACCTCCAAACCTAACAATAATAAAGCTTTTATTATATTACATGGTTGGTAGGAGTACCATAAAGACAGGAAAACCAAGTGTATGGGTTTTGTTAGTGGAAATAACTTGAACCTACACTACTACACAATGCAGCTCTCAGTTTCTGCACATACCTACCACACACTGCTTCATATGGGGAGAAAGGACAAAATTCTTAGGAAAAAGTAGTGAAAATATACTCACTTCCTCTCTACTGGAAATTTATAGTGGAAATACAAAAGCATTAACTAGGGGTGGACTTTCAAACTGAAACATGTTTAACTACATGAAAAGGAACCCCTTACTTTGGAAGCCATATCCAGAAAAACTAGACAAATAAACTGGAGACTGATACACAATAACTGGATTCCATACACAGGTTCACTTCTTAAAACATTACCTCGAAGAGAGACTGCTGTACTTAGCCCTACAGTTCACTAAAGTGAATCCAATTAATCCAAGTGCAATTTCTACTTTTAGACTACACTATTTTAAAAGCATATATCTCTTACTGCCATTTATTTCTTTCACACCACTATTAACTGTTCCAATTTAAAAAATAAAATTAAAAAAAATTCAATGTGTTTCAGGCATTAAACCGATTTTGCAATTGTCTTCACTTAGTCATTTGCAGACACTTAATTTTACAATTTAATTGTTCTTTAATTAAGTGTCACTGATTTTTTGCTGGGTGTTCACAAGGGCACTTTCTAGAGATTAAAAAGATACATGAGTTAAGGAGAACACAGTCATGAAGGATTGGAAAGATGCACTAACAAAAGCACACTCTTTTTTTCAATGTCTTTACAAGCTGGATAAAACCCATGAAGGTTTGGAAAGGTGCACTAACAAAAGCAAACTCTTTTTTCAATGTCTTTACAAGCTGGATAAAACAAAAGCAGTGAAGTTATGTAAACAACAAACTCCAAAATGCCATCTTTAGCATTACAAATTTTTTTTTTAAATTCCAAAGCTACAGAGATAAAATAAGTGTAGCATTAAAATACAGAAAGCACTGGATGGGGTTTGTTGTTAGTAGACCTCTGGCTGTCAATACCACACCAACCTTTCCTCTTGCCCTGTTACTTAAATAGCTGCACTTCAGTGTTTGACTTTAAATGAAAGAGAAGAAACTGTATGGAAGTAAGGTTTCCTCCTCTCCAAGACCAACAGTTGCAAGAAGCAGCTCCCTGCATCTTCACACACCATGGAACAAGCAAGGTTAGAATGCTTCACATACTAGAATACGTTTGAATATCAACAAAAACGCACCCAAAACCCAAACCACTAGCCCTAAAAAGAAACCACCCAAAAAAACCCCCCAAAAAAACCAAACCGAAACAACAAAAAAAACCAAAAAAAGGCAAAAAACCCACCACCCAAACAAAAACAAAATCACAAAAATCCAAACCCCAGAAACACCACCAAGAACACAAAGAAAAAAACCTCCTCAAAACCCAAACATACACCCCCTAAAATAAAGTGGGGAGAAAAAAAGAGAAAGCTCAAATCTTTTCCAGTGCATCTACTGGCAGTGCCCCTGTGGGGCCTGACAAGGAGGTAGGTGTATAATTGACATTCATTAAACCATTCACCTTTCTCCACTAACCTCAGTTTCATACAGTAATAGCAATAATCATAAGGAGTACCTCAAGGCACTTTGAGGCCAACCAAGGGGCAGGCTGGAGACCTTCCTCCCTGCTCCTCAATCTCTAGGTACAAGCTAAGCTCAAACTGCATCTCACACTGACTTCCAGCAATCCTGTGTCCTGTGTTCATACCAGTTAGGTTGGCAATACTGGCTGCCCCTTGCTTCCAAGTGTTCTCTGAACAAAGATCACATTTTAAATTACCTCCTTATTGCACAACGAATTTGTAAGGAGGATTTAGTTTGAGGTTGCCTGAAATCCTGGGTTTTCAAATAAAATTACAAGGGATTTCACAAACACTTGCATCAGTAATTCAGAGTGCTCTAGCCTTCTCGTAACTAGAGATTCATCTTCAAGTTTCTGCCACTAGCCCCAAAGACTTTCACCCTAGATGCCATAGAAGGCAGTGCATTTCTATAAGGGCTCTGGGAGAAAAACTATACCAACTCATCTTAAGATAAAAATCTGTATAATCACTGTTAACAATTAACACAATCAGAATAATAATTCATTCTTTAGCTAAAACTCGCAAGCATAATTTTATTTTTAAAACAACTTTGTGTCTTCCTATATCTCCATTTTCTTTTTCTTATTTTTCTTTTAAATTTGCAACAGTCTTATCTTAAAAATCTATATAATGATAACTTAGTTTTCAACATTAACAAGAAAATAATATTCTTGATGCCAACCACTTTTTCCAACAACACCAACTGACACAATTACTTATAAAGATGAAGTGTTCTCAGTCCAGTGAAGCAGAGCAACAGTAAATTAAGACTATGTTCTATGCTTTTGCCTCAAATTCAGAGCAAAAGTACTCTGCAAAATTAGCAAGCCTGAACTCTTCCTAGAACTTCAACCAGGGAATATCCTCTCCTCCAAAAGAGAAACATACTTTCCTGTAGTTTTAGAGAAGATTCTGTGAAGGAGAACAAGTAGCATCATTTCCTATTTTTTTCAGTACAGATGAATTTTCAGATGGCTTACTTGTATATATAGCATGAAAGATGTATTCCCTGATAAGCAGGGAAAAAAATAGAGGTTGCTGTATTTACATTTCAATATTCAGAGTGTTCAGTTATGGAAGTTCACAGCTGCAGAGCATCAACAGCAACAAAAGGGGGTTGAGTGGACAGTAAAGCAAGTAGAAGTGCAGCTACTGGGAAAAAAGTACATCTACACCTCTTTACACCTTCAGATGCCATTTACTGATCAGGACTAAACATTTTATTCACAAATGCAACAAATGATATTTTAAAAACTGAAAGAAGCAACTGCATAAACAAAACCAGAAATTCCTTTTTTTCCCCAATACATTCCTGACTGTACCTGCCGTGTCAGTACACTAGTCAGCACGTCATTACTATGACCCAGCTGCTTGCAAATCTCCTCAGTGGGTGGCTGAAAAGTTGGTATTTTATCATGTCTTTGACACACCTGTTCTGAAATCCAGCATTCATTAAATTACCACCAAAAGTTATTTATTAAGAGGAATTGCAGCACCAAGAAGTGCTTAGAGCAAGACGAATTTTCCTAGACTGCCTTGCTAACCAGGTTTTACTTTAAAATTGTACCAGGAAGGGTAGGTATGTAAATGCCAATGTGTTTTGTTCAGAACATCCAAGCACATGACTATTTTGGAGCCTTAAATACCTGTAGGCTTGATTCAGTGGTGCTGTGCCTCATATGCAGCTCCAATTTAGCAATTGAGAATTTTGAGAATTTGTAGAAAAGCCAACAGTACCAAATCAGAACAGCACAGATTCTGTACTTGCTTTCCTGTGATTTCAAAGAATATGGTGAACAAAAAAAGACTTTTGGTTTATTCAGTAAAGTTTTACCTTGTGCAACCCCTATAAATCTGAAAATGGTTTTATGGAATTGGTTTAAAAAAGAAACAATAAATAAATCAAATGTGTGTTCACAGGAACAACAAACTTCACTTGACACATATTTTGATACTGGGTTTCACTAATAATTTCGAAACATACAGTGCTCTCCTCTTTCTAGGTATTTGTGTGTTTACTCACTAGAGAAAAGCAGACTTACTAGCAGTCAATCTGGCTCAAAGCTTTTTGGGAACTCAAGTACAGCTCAAGTTTTCCCACCCAAAGGAGAAGCCAGTTCTGTGTTTCTTGGGGCAGGAAGGAGAATGGCTTGGAACACACTCCAGGGTCATGCTCATGCTTTTGCTGCAGTATGGAGGCAAAAGACAACCAGTGGAACATCACTTTTCCAAACCTTCAGCAGGAACTACCACTACTTCACAGAGCCCTTCCCACTGGCACAGCAATGCAAACAGCTTCCTCCAGCTACTCATTCTCTGGGCGATGCTACCTGTCCTGGGTGAAGATAAGGCTGGAGGGCATCAAGCAGACAAAGGGAAATATCAAGGGCAGGAGTTTCTGATGCACCAACTCAGATACACCAAAACAGTGCTGTGTAACCTAATTTTTTTTCTCCAGAAGTTCCCAGATCTGCTTCATGCCTTTTTGCCAAGCTCAAAAAAATGGAAGCAGAGCAGAATATTACTTGCTTACAGAATAGGGCCAGCTCACAGAAGAACGAGACAATAAGTTTTACACCACTTCAGGAATATGCCACTTCTCCAGATTCTCCTCATCTCAGAAGAATTTCAGAATACAGGAGAGTTGTATTTTGTATATGAACTCTTTCACTCTTTTGTGTTCAGCCTCATGTTAGTAAGAAAAAATTTAACGGTTTGTTAACTATCAGCAAGACTCATCAGCTGTTCCCACAACTGCAATACCAAGAGAACATTAAACAGAGAATGAACACTGCCCATCACATTAATTATCAATGCTTTCTAATACCAAACAGAATTAGTTGCAGGTACATGGACAAATCCAGATCTATTCCAAACAGAAATTCACTGTAGGTACATGAACAAAGCACAATCAAGTATCTCCTTTACACTTTCTGATATTTAAAAAGGAAAAATTGTAAGAAGACATTAAAATAAGAGACATTGATTATTTGTCCATGTTCATCGCTAGCTTATGCTGAAATTCCACTTGCTATCTGGAGACTTATGCTGTCAGAATTCCTCTCCAGACTGTGCTCATAAGGTCTTGAAATAGCTGCCTGCTGTGTTTGTGAAGCAGACTTGCTGGGTTCATTCATCTTTCATTATGCCAGATTTTTTGTTTTTCCAAAATGAAATTGGAATGATTTAAAAATACAACAGCCCACATAATCCATCTTGTACTTTTCGGTTGTTTTTCGAAGAGGAAGGGATTTAGAAATGTGGTTTAAAACATTTTGTTTGAACAGCACCATCCACAAATACAATCCTGAGGTACTTTGCAATTCACTTAGCACTGAAATTAAAATCACAGCTTTATATTCAGTATGGGAACATTCACCTTTGTGAACACAGAAAGGCTGCTGATTCCACAGAACACATACATTAAATCATTCTGCACCAATCATGCTGCTGTCTACCCATTTGTTACACTCTTTGATGAGCTGCAGTGGAAAGAACTCAAAGGTCACAGATACTGAACCAGACTGAATTTATGAAATCAGGGCTTCTTTTGCTTGAGGGGGCTAACAGAAAACTTCTTCACTTGGTCACATGCAGTACTGTACCTACCTAGAATGGCTGCCTTTGGTGTGCAGCTCACCAACTCATACTCACACGAGTCAAAGGCTCAGGAACTACAGTCTGGCCTCAGCAGGTAGATAAAAACACATTATGAAAATTGCATTTTGAGCTGAAAATATCCTTCTATTTACAAGAAAAACGTGAAGTTCCTTATGAAAGCCAGTCTGTTTCTAACACACAAAGTTAACCAATTTCTGAAGCATTACAGTCAGGCCAATGTTCCACAAGAGGAGGTAGTAATTTTTAGGAAAGTTCCTGCAGATCATGGCTCCAAGGACAGAGGAAGAGTAGTAGAACGATACTACTTTACCTTTGTAATTCACTAAGCGCTCCACTTGTGGATGGGCTGGGGTTTAGCCTCAGGAAGTTCTGCTTTAAATTGAGATGAGTGAGGTCTTGGCTATAAAACAGGTTGGCAGGCAGGTGCTCCAAGCTGCAGCATGAAAGATCCACTGAGCTGATGCGTTGTGATGCAACCTGGAAGTCAAGTACAACACCAGTATATTAATATAGTAATAAAAAAAAAGCTAAAATTTCCTTCACCCCTACCAGCACAAGATAAACTGTTTTTTAAGCACAGCAGAAGCCAGTGTTGGCATATATAGCTAATCTAACACAGTTTACATAATTGCTGCAAGTTATGCCATGATCTCTTTCTTGGCTTCAGTGCTTAGACCAGGTCTACAGATGACTAGCAGGGAGAAAAGGTTTGTCAAATTAATAGGTGAAAATAATCTATTTTCATTTATGAAGCTATGCAATACTTTACAACCAGAAAAAAAATTGACATGAGCTTTAGTTTAGTCTTTGGGTAGGCAATCCCTCCTCCAAGTGAGTGGAAGTGAAGGGTTAGCAGTCATCACCATTGCCTTGGTTTCATACATCCAAGATGGGTATCAAATGGCAGAAGAAGAGTTATCCCATTTACACCTTACTGAAGAGAAAAAATAACCCATCAGCAAAGCACCAAGCACTCATTTCTTCTCAATGAATTAGAAGATTGTCCAAAAGTGATAAAAAATAAGACAAAACCAAAACGGAGATTTGGAGGCTTAACACTGTTTTCTAGAAAGAGGAAGGTAAAACAAACACAATCTATAGAGGCTAAAAAAACCATATCACCTAGCACTATATATATATTTATAGCTAGCTAGGAATACCTATAGGTCATTCCACAGAGACCTATAGGTAACTTTTTCAAGTAACAGCAATACTCCCCTTTCTGTATCTCTAGGATACACCTCAGTGAACTGCATCTTCCTGTTTTACTTATTTACTAAACTTTTCTAAAAATAAATAAAATATCACCAGCAGAATCAAAAACAAACCCAAGGCTGCAATGTAGAATGCTTATATCTTCTGTTGTACACTACTAAAAATCTTTTACAAAGCAGTGTACGACAGAAATGCTACATGGCAAAGCACAACACAGTAATGCAAGGCAGCGGGGATGGTGGGCAAGGAAGAGGTGCCAAATGCTAGAAGAAGGAGAGGCATTTTTGGAGCAGGCATGGCTGGACCAAAGGAAGAGAAGTAAACAACTTCACCACCATTTTAGATTTCTGGGACCACATCAAGAGTGCTCCAACAGTTATGGTGCTCTGTCAGCTGCTCACACTAAAAGCAGCTATTGTTTCACTGGCCTTTTATGCTGGGATTCTGGAGGTACAAACACCACATCTAAAGGGCAAAAAGAGAAGAAGACCCAACAACTCCTTATCAATGCCTGGTGACATAAGAGCTTCTCAACTCTGATGAAGGCCACACCACTCAACCTTCTGTGCAGAGATCGAGTCCCTGCCACGAGGTACTCTGAAACTAAAGGCGTTGAGGAGGTAGCTTGCCACTGAAAGGAATGCCACAGAAATGTTTTTTCCTCTCTCCAATGCAAGGTGCACAGGCCTTAGGATAGGTGGTTGCTATTATAAACACACAGCCATAAGCGTCAAGGGGAACAGACACTGCAGTGTTTTTCTTCAACACAACCGTTAATATTCCAGCCCTCCCACATCCATGAAAACGCGTGAAGTTTTGTTACTCAATTAGTTCAGTCCTTTTGGTACTGTAGCTCGTATTTTTCTTCCCCTTTTAGAAGAAGACAAGAATTATGCATAGGCTACACTGAGCAGTCGTCTCTGAATGCTGGGTATTCAGTCTGTTTATGCCCAGTACTGCACAGTTCTGATCCCACTGTTGACACCCGTCAGATTTAAAAGGAAGAATATTTAATTTCAGGTGTAACACTTGTATACGCTGTTGCTCCAACTACTTGTTTGGAATGTGATATGAACAGCAATAAGCAATCCAGCAGTGCTTAGCAAGGCTCATTACTCTAAAAATATCTCAAGAACCAGAAATGGTAACTCTGAGTGGGAATCATGATAATGCAGCCAAACAAAATCAAATATACAAATTCTACTGTTGCCCACAAAAAGGATGCAAATCCTTTCTTAAAACTGTCAAACCCTGAGAAATAAATCCAGTTAAAATTAATTTTGTCCATACAGGTTGTATGTACTGGTTATTTTTTGACTTGTTTTTAAGAGAACACATTATTATACAAAGCATTTAATTAATATTTTCTCAGAATTGACAAATATTGAATGATGCTTTTACCAGAGAGATAACTGTAAAAGTAAAAACCATTCTTTTAAAAGGTCTTAGTTCTGGAATCAACTGTAATTTTATCAAAGTCTTTCTGTTACCAAACAGTACTCCAAGAATTAACTCCCAAATTGTTACAAGGAAGGCTCATATAAACACACATTCTCACAGGCTTTTCTCATCAAAAAATTTCTCTTTCCATTGCTCAATACTGTTTCTATAACAAATTCCTACAGAATAGAACAGGATTTAAAAAAAAAAAGTGTAACAAAGGAGAACATAATTTTAATACTTTCTTTCATTGACCAGAAATTTTCATCAGCAGTTATTTTGAAGTTGAATATCAAAATTCTGAGATCATGTTTTTCTGAAATCAATCAATCTTGCAATTGTCTATAATTGACTTCAATATAGCAAGAGACTGCACATGCCTGAGTTTGCTATTGTTTATTAGAAGCAAAGATTTTTTTTTTCCAAAAGACTATGCAGTTCTTTAAGAAAGCACTGGGTTTCCCTGACTCACTGCAAAGAATCACCGCAGAGATCAGCTGAGAAAATGCTGAGTAGAATATACTTCACACTCAAAGAATAAAATGCATCTGGAGAAAAGGACATTATCTGCAGAAATTCATGCTTCCACTGGAAGAAAACAAAATAAAAAAATTCCACTGTAAATAAATATCCCAACGAGTTATCTGGGCTGTGTTCAACACATCCATGCTCCTCCAAAAATTGTGAAGAGAGTTGGTGTGGCAGCACTGCTAGAGGGAATGGCTTTCTGGATACACAGGGAACCTGCCTTAAGTGCCTGTTACGGTTTGGGGTTTTTCTTGTGGAAGACTCTTAAGCTGTTTGATATGCTATATGTACATACATAAAAATAAAACCACAAGCAGCACAATTCAAAACTCCACAGGCAGAAGCTGCCACGGCCCAAACCAATCCCTCTCAAATGTGTTCTCATCACATGCCAAACTGCACAGACCCCTCAGACTTGTGTCACACGAAACCACTGCTGCATTTCCAGCCCCAATAACACTGAGGAAATGGCTGGGGCAGTGACCTTCTCGGAAGATGGCACATGACAAGCTCTCAATGACAGGAGCTACAGCAGGAGCTGCAGAGTCAATGCTTGTCCCTGCAAGACGTGCAACATTTGACACCCATGCAGCTCAAACACAAAGCAACATCTCACTCTTCTTTGAAGTCTGTTTTTCAGTTGGGATATTTAATCATCAAAAAATATAAATAAACAATATGAAATATGCTATTTTCTCCATTCCCTGGATATGACTTTTAAATATTTTGCAGTCTGTCATTGCATTGCAATGTCCCCCACTGTAATATCAGAAGAGTAGTAATAGGATAAGACCACAATGAACTTTGCACATCAAACCACAAAGTCCAAGGGAAGATTTTTTTCCTGTTTCTTTTGCAACCTCAGTTATGCATCCTAGGCCTACACTGTTCTATCTTTTTTCAGTCTTCAGATAAATATGGCAAGCTAACTGTAGTTTTGAAGAAGTGATAGACAATGTAGCACATGTACTACAAAAAGCCCTAGGTCTACCCACTGCAAACACCAAAACCCTGTAATTGTGCTTTTAATTTTCCCACAGCAGCAACAAAATGCAGATTTATTCTACAAATACCACCACAAAAAATGATGTTGCAGAGTGCTCTCCCTCCCTTAGGTAGTATGCCTTCTGCTCCTCCTCACCTGAGAGCTGCACACATGCCAAAGAAACAGGAGTCTCCCTAATACCAAAATTCACTTTTACACATGTTACTTGTGCCACAATACACCTACAAATAAAAACAACTATTCCAAAAAGCCAGCAGTACCCTCTGATGCCTAGATTCCAGGCACCACTACAAATAAGAGATTTGCCAAAGTGTTTTGATTTTATTTTTTTCTTTACTTATTATTTTTTAAAAGGAAACAGTATTCCAAGACCTATGAAAACACAGGATGGGTTCACTGTAAATCTTTATCAGCTGGCAACAAAAATACAGAAAAACACTCGCATCAACCCATATTCTTGTTTTTTGCTACACAGGGCTGAAAAACCACTTTGCTTTGTCCATCAGCATAATGACACCTCTGTCACTGAGCTATGCAACAAGACTGATTATGGCCGTTGTTTTAAAGCCTTGGCTATACTACAAAAATGATCTGTTGCTGACAATGGATGTCAGCAATGGGCACAGCTGAACCCAGCTGTATGGACAAGCACAAGTCTTGTTTACACAAGGACATCTTTTGGTGTGACCTGTGGTGTGAATTTAAACCAATGCAATTATGTCTTTTTCCTGTTTACCCTCACCCCATTACCTATAGCTCCATTCAGATAAGAAATTACTGCTTAGGACTTCAACAGAAGACAAAATAGCAAAACAGCCCACACTGTAAAGGCAGCCAAATTCCCAGTCTGTTTGAACTGAGTTGACAGTGTTAAATTATACCTGCTGTAGACATGCAATACAAAGGCAGTTTAATTTTTCTCCTTTAGGATTTGTTTTTAAACAGTTTGATAATCATCACATCCCACCAAGTCCTGCATAAGCCTTAACTAAACAGTGATACATCGCCTTGAAATACCTAAACTAACTTGGAGCAAACAGGTTCTTCTCACTTCAGAACTTACCTTGCTTCAATCCTCCTTTCTATTGAAACATCAAAGCCCTGCTCAGCAGAGGCTCCCTCCACTGAGCTGAAGTCCACAGCCAGGAAGCACATTGGTGTCCTCAGCCACAGCCAAGAGCTGAGAAACTCTTTAGCCTGGTAAACAATCTAATGCCAAAAAACTTAATGAAGGGGAGGGGGAAAAAAAACATTGGCTTTAAAGCCATGTATTTTCATTTTTAAATGA